CCCCATGCTGTAGTCTCTCGAGAAACCTCGGCAGGTAGTTCGTTCCACATTGTAAGGGTACGCGGGAAGAAGCTCCTCTGAAACCGCACTGTCCGAGACCATTAAGTTCCAGCGTGTGACTAAACTAAAATAAATAATAAAAAAGAAACTATAATTTCTAGAAAATGCTGTGGAAACCACTATATAAAAATATAGACTCAAAAATTGGTGGAGGTAAGAAACCCAACTGAACTTCCCCAAACTTTGTTGGCAATACTGATGACTATATAGACAGTTCGAAATGTGTACTTTATAATTTCTAGAACAATGCTGTGGAAACCACGACGTAAAAACATAGACTCAAAAATTGGTGTAGATAAGAGACCCAACTAGTGAACTTCCCCAAACTTTTTTGGCGATAATTAAATAGACAGGTTTAAGTGTCACCAATGGTCACCATGATGATGTGACTTCGTATAAGATTAAACTCCATGCCCTCAAAAACTTTTCCGGAAAATAGACTTAAAATGTAATACATTAAAGTAGATTTTCTAATTTCTTTAGATATTTTGTTGGGAATACTGATGGCTAAATAGCTCTAAGCGTGTCACCAATAGTCACTATGGTGATTGTGACTATGTATAAGACTAAACTGCATACCCTCAAAAACTTTTCCGGAAAATAGACTTAAAATGTAATACATTAAAGTAGATTTTCTAATTTCTTTAGATATTTTGTTGGGAATACTGATGGCTAAATAGCTCTAAGCGTGTCACCAATAGTCACTATGGTGATTGTGACTATGTATAAGACTAAACTGCATACCCTCAAAAACTTTTCCGGAAAATAGACTTAAAATGTAATACATTAAAGTAGATTTTCTAATTTCTTTAGATATTTTGTTGGGAATACTGATGGCTAAATAGCTCTAAGCGTGTCACCAATAGTCACTATGGTGATTGTGACTATGTATAAAACTAAACTGCATACCCTCAAAAACTTTTCCGGAAAATAGACTTAAAATATTTACATTAAAGTAGATTTTCTAATTTCTTTAGATATTTTGTTGGGAATACTGATGGCTAAATAGCTCTAAGCGTGTCACCATGATGATTGTGACTACGTATAAAACTAAACTGCATGCCCTCAAAAACTTTTCCGGAAAATAGACTTAAAATGTAATACATCAAAGTAGGTTTTCTAATTTCTTTAGTTATTTTGTTGGGAATACTGATGGCTAAATAGCTCTAAGCGTGTCACCAATAGTCACTATGGTGATTGTGACTATGTATAAGACTAAACTGCATGCCCTCAAAAACTTTCCCGTAAAATAGACTTAAGATTTGATACATTAAAGTAGATTTTCTAATTTCTTTAGTTATTGCAGTAGATTGAAATCGTGCGATGTGGTAATGCAGTAGAATGGTACAATTAAGTCTGGAGTCTTTGACGCCCACTTGACTATAACCAACTGCAGGGTTAATTGATTAATTGAAGATGGTGTCAGTGAACATTATTGATCATCAAACGACAACGAAACTAGAACCGAAAAAGCTAAAGACTGTTCTGAAACTTGAAACATGTAATATGTAACGACCTCGGTAGTTTAACGGTTTAGCACACCGCTTTACTATGGTTGCGGTTTTGATTCTCTGCACGGTGCAAACATTAGTATTCATGAGTATGATTGTTTGTATTGGTGTGGTCTTTATCTGCAGCGAGCGATGGCTGTATGTATGTATTCGAGGATATTCAACCATATTAGCAGAGGCGACAAGCTTGCAGGCTCCCATCCTAGGACCTAGAGACGGAATTCCTACTGACGGAATATCACTGGCGCATGTAGGCAAGAGTGATGACTGCTGAACTGAAATCCCATCTTCGATGAGTCCTCAGGGAAAAGTGAAAAGAAAGGCCGACCACTCCAACGTCGAACCTTTTGTCACTAGTGCGCGGAGGCAAGAGTGAAGATTGTGAAACAGAAATCCCATTTTCGACGAGTCCTCCGGGAAAAGTGGAAAGAAAAGCTGGCCTGAGGATCGTCGAACCCATCCATCTATTATTAAAACATTGGATGGGCAGGCGGGGCGGGTGACCTATAGACTTACACAGATGCTAACCAGGCAGCTGTTTTGGGCGGTACTTGTGTAACATTGCAAGAAGTGAGTCGACCACTTAGTGTCACCAGTGCGGATACGACCACAACAGTACGTTCTGTAGAAGAGCTCTGCATTTACAGAGAAGTGTCTTGGTCGCGGAACTGAGGGACAACCTCTCGGCGCCAAATGTACTTCGGGTAATGGTCAGGAGCCTCCAGGTTGTATACCTAGTGGCCGACTAGTAACAGGAGCCACTGATTTTAGTAGGTAAAAATCCGACACACCACCTTCCTCCGGCGGGGGGAGGGTCTTTGTGGAGATTTTACCACAAGTTAAAAAAAAGCTGTGGAACATGAATAGAATGTCTGCACTGTGCGAGGCATTGAACCCGCAACCATCAGATACTAAACCGCTATCAAGGTTGATGGTTATCAAGGTCGTTTGATTTATTGGTTTTCCTAGATAGGACATTAATCTCACTTCAGTCACATTGTATAAGTCAAAAGTTGAATATACAAAGTTGGCTTTTTGAAATGGCTGTCTAAGACGGTACATCCTAACAAACAAATTGACTTTACATTTCTATTAGGATTCATTTACTAGCTAAAAATACAATCGCGTAAGATACAAAGGTCAAGTGGCGCACGTTATACCGTCGATGACTTGAGTCAATAATCAAAAAAATGTTATTATAAAAACATATATATTAATATCTCAGGACAATTCACACAGCCCGATCCGTCCAGTGGTTTGGGCTGTGCGTTGATAGATCACTATATATAAAATGTTTGCACGGTGCGAGTAAAGCGGAGTGCTAAACCGCTAGACCAGTGAGTCTATATCGACCCCCAGAGGTCTATAACAAACTGCAAGGGGTCTACGAGCTGTCGTCGATGACCGCTGGGTCATCTTGTTTTTACTTTATGTTTTTAGCACTAAACTTTACTACAGTTAGAAATTGACAAAAAGAAACAATACCAGGTAAGAATGGAGGTCTACCGAAACCGAAAAATATGGCGAGGGGTCTACGACACAAAAAGTTTGGGAACCTCTGACAGACCACCGACACCTTCAATACAATGTTACATTACAAGATGACGTCATTTTTACAAATAGACGTACATATGTTATTCATATTTATTTCAATTGTTAGCTACTAATATAGTCCGTATTACCAGGCAGGAAAGATCTAGTTGGACAGTAATTTATATTATTTCAAACTAAGAAACCTCATATATGCATTATCCTTCCTATAGCGTGAATGAATCATAATAAAAATTAATATATTATATACAATTCCTATAAAATATTAATATTTCATATATTTACAATTATTACCTATTATTTACATATAGAACAGAATGGTATGGCTTAAACAATAATGACCAATTCACGTAGCGCCATCTAGATCCAAACTAAGCAGTACCACGAGTGATAGAAACATTAAAAAAATATCTTATACATACACTAGCTGTCCCGCCAAACGTTGTATTGCCATATAAATTAAAATCGCTGTTAAAAAATAGGGATGATTCCAGAAGGGTGAAAACTTAGGGTTGTATGTATCTTTCAATCCTAAATAATGATAATATTAAAAAATAAAAAATATATATTTAGGGGTGGATATCCCTTACCACTTAGGGGTATGAAAAATAGATAGTAGCCGATTCTCAGACCTACTGAATATGCATATAAAATTTCATAAAAATCGGTAATACCGTTTCGGAGGAGTATGGTAACTAACATTGTGACACGAGAAATTTATATCTAAGAAGATAATATACTTAGAAAAGTCTCATATGAATACAAACAATCACAATGTAACATACAAATGTGTGTATTGTTCGAGAATCGACCCAGGGACTATTGGAAGTAAGGCGTGTAAAACCGCTAGACACATACGTCGATAGGCAATAGAGATCAAAGAATGAAAGCAATAATTATTAAAAGCATCTTTTCAGGCAATATTTTTCACTAATATATATAACAGGTTCAAAAACAGTCCTTAAAACAGATATAAATAAAATTGTAGTGTCTGTTTGTAATATTGAAATAACCGTTTTTTACTACATGCATATGTATATAAATACGGTACATGCACCAAAATAACATTGTTTACAATTTTTGTCTGTATATCTGTTTGTTCCGGCTAATCCCTGAATTAGCTGGACTGATTGTGACGGTACTTTTTTTAGCACGTAGCTGTATAATAAGGAACAAATTTGGCTACTTTTATTTTAGAAAAATAATGTTAAATTCCACGCGGACGAAGTCGCGGGAACAGCTAGTGACAAATAAATATACTATGCTATTATTGTTATCATAATTTTTTTTAAGCCCACAATATTTGAGTATCATTTTCATATTCCAATTATATTCATATCTACAAAGAAATGATACGCAATTGGTAAAAATGAAGACATACTTTTTTTTTAAATAAAACCTGTCTTCTTCAACACTCTTAACAAAAACCTTAATTTACAAAGATGTTGTTTCAATTTCTCTCAAATTCAGAAAATATCTCTAAACAAGTGAATGAACAGATTATATTAAATTCTATCACATGTTTAGCGTTAAATTATTACTAGTAATTGCAAAGATCCATTATAAATAAGTTTTCACAATATCATTATTGTACAATCGTATAACCTACGCTAAATGAACCTTTTTTTTTAAACTCTCGCAAAGGACGTGACTTGACTGACATACGAGTACTAAAGATTTATGCAAGCAAACATTGTTACGACGCATGACTTCAACTTAATGACTCTTTGTCATTGAGATTCCATACTTTAAATAATTGCTCAACCATTGTATCGAATCATCTCGAAGGATCAGTTGAGTGTAGTTTCTGTAGTAACGCTTATCTATTTATATTTAGACGTATTGATAACAGTTCGCTAGATAAAAACATGAAAATATGAACTATCAACAATAGGATTACATAATAGAAGATTTTATATTTCTAACTAACGAATGAGCAATCCTTTCATGATCATAACTACCAAAAATGTAGTTATAACTTTTTGAGGGCACAAAAATAAATGGTTCGATTTCTAGGATACCTACCATACACATGGGACGCTATAACTGATCGATGATGTTGTCTACCATCGATCCTCGGTTTCCTGTTATGGTAGCGCTGGTGGCGTCACCATGTGGACTTGCTTGCTGACCGTTTGGTGACCTTGAGCGAGTTGGCCTGCTTTCAACGCTTTCGCCTTTATGAACGCATCGAATCCATACAGAGCCATTGACAAGTATCCGAAGAACTGAAAAGAAAGAATGTTATGAAATATGATAATAACATTTATACTATAGTACTATTATATACTATACCGTATATACTAGGTATAGGACTACGAACGCAAGTACAATTCGCACACCTATACGAGATTAACTCCATAATCTGCAAACATTGGAAAATCCACTCTAACCGAATAATTATAAAAATAAATTTAAAAAAATCACTTTGTTTATATTGTACCCTGAGTACACTGGGAGTGTACGAATTGTATATCGCTCTCTAACGATAGTGATCAAACGACAATAATTAATAAAGCCTATAAGACTCCTATTATTTCACACTCATCACCACACTCATCACTAATTTTATGTTACCCAGCTTTCTTTACACAATATGATGACTGTGAGTATATTTAACAACGTACACCGTAACAATTTCATCATAATCCTTCCATTTAAACGTGAAGCATTAACACATAAACAGATACTTTTCGGCTCACGATTTTATAACATGTTAAGGTTATATGCAGGTAATTACATCGTGATAAAGAACTATTATTATTATTGTGCAATGCGCGTCATCATTATAATGCGATAACACACATCTCAAGTGGTATCTCAAAAGAAGAAGACATACTAATTTGCTGACTAGCGCAACAAACTGGAAATGTTTGAGATGCATTTTATACCAGAAGGTAGAAGGCTAGGTACTGCTATTGTCTCTAAATCTACCGAATATATATCTGAAAACAAAAGGTGGAGAGTATACTGTAGATTGTATAAAATTGAAAAACTTTGTATCACTGACGGCTTGAAAGTTGAATGTAATGGAAAAATTAAGCCCAGAAATGACGTAGATGGGAAGAAGCAAGTAGAAATTATACTCAAGGCGGAGCGTAAAATAGGCACTGTTCAATTACGACAAGCGAATATCACCACGATGCTTAGATACTTTTAATTTACTAAACGAACGAACGCAATACGAAGAAATGGACTTCTTTTAAGGGGCATCCATCCATTGTGTCCATCAATACAAAAGAGCACATGTTGAATATTCCATGTGTCGGAGTTCATACTTTTGGTCCATTCCGTGATCGACGCATATATCACCGATTTGTATACCGTTTCTCCCGGCCTATCTCGCCAAGGAACGGGATATCTTCGACTATGTTCGGACCAAGAGTAACCTAATCCTAAGAATGACGCAGAATTGGAATCTAGTCATAATATGAACTTCAAAGCGTTTGTGGCCAGGGTCTTACCGACATCCTGTCCAACGTCGTGAAGGAGGACTGCTGGCCGCAGAAAGTGATGTACCGGCGCTACTGCAGTTGCCATTAGTGTGGTGACCAGAAAGACAATATTATTATTTTCTATGCATGTTAGTCCTTAAGATATGCATAATAGGAGCCAATATTAATATATAAATAATATTAAGGGGCTTGAAGTAAAATAGGTAATTAAAAAAACTATATTCTTTGAAAATTGTGACTTTGCTGTTGGTAATTGTAAACCTGTATAACACGATTTTTAGAAAAGCACTTGAAGTTTATTGTTATGCAAAATACTGATATTAGCTATTGACGATGATACAGAGTTTAAACAAACGGTAATCCGTCAACCTACATAAGACGATTTTTACGACGAAACGTACTGGTAGTTTATTGTTGCGCAAAATACTTCAATCAGATATTAGCTATCGACGAGTTTAGACAAACGGTGATCTGCCATTACCTTGAGATAACTTACGACGTACCTGCCTACTTTTGGATAGCAAATAAATAGTCGTCATATAGTCCGAAAAATGCGGAGGTTGGTATAATCTGTGATAAGAGTTTTGCGTAATGTACGTTATGTTACAATTCTAACTTTTTGTATAATTCTATTTGTGTTTGTTTATCATACACTGCTGTAACGTTTTGTAATTTATATTCAAGACTGCGTTCACTCGTGTGAAATTTATAGCCTAACACAGGCTGATGTGTCTGACGTATAAGCTATGTTACTGTAAAATTTCATCGAAGTCCATGCAGTTTTTGCGTGAAAGAGTAACAAATATCTATCTATACTCTTGCATTTATAATATTAGTAAGATCAACACAAAGTTCTTTCCCATGTTTATTTACATTTTTCGAAATGTAAATAAACATGGGAAAGAACTTTGTCAATAAAGAAATTCTATTAAAATTAAATTTAATTTAATAAAGATTTTTTACGTATAGTTTAACATTTAGTAAGAGAGAGGATTTGGTTGTAGACAGTGGCAATTACAGGATAAGAGGCATGACATCTTAGTCCTCTAATGTAATAAATAATGACAACGCATGAGTGGTATATCATGATGTCCGTAATGCTGCTCCGGTTACCAGTAAATGTGATAGCTTGCTTTCCATTCCAACTTTATAAAAAAAATGTTGCAGAATGACTACTTTCAAGTTAGGTATTTTACAATAGTAAGCTGATGGTCTACCTGACAACTAAAAGTAATAATATCATGAACTGAACTGAAGTAGCTAGCACTTGGCTAGCTATTTCAGTTCAGTTCTGTGAGAGAGAGAGAGAGAGAGAGACGAAGAAAGAATGTGTATGTACGTTTAAAAAATTGCAACACCTAAGTGGCCGTGGCCGTGGTCGTACACTGAAATGCTAATCGGAATAATTGTTCCGGTACAATTAGCGATATATCGGCAGAGAGTTAGAGCAGTTACAAACAAGTAATTATTTGTTACGTAATGTGAAGTGTGGCGCTTAGTACTTTGCAAAAAAATGTATCTATCTATATTAGAGTTTCCCGGACATTTTTTCTCACAGACCACTGTCAAAATTTAGTTAGTTTCGGTGTTTCCGTTGCAGTTACAGTTCTACCATATTCCCAAAACTACAACGATAAAAAATGTGAAGGTTCCAGTGGATCTCTTGCAGCTACATTTCTACCATATTCCCAAAACTCGACAAAAAATGTGAAGGCGGAACATTCTCATTTTTTGTCGTCGTAATTTTGGGACCCCTTGCAGTTACATTTCTACCATATTCCCAAAACTCGAGAAAAAATGTAAAGATTCCAGTGGATCCTTTGCAACTACATTTCTAATTTCGATCATATTCGGAAAATCGACAAAAATGTAAAGATTAGAACTAACTACGGAAATTTGCATTGCGGTTGAGTTCCAACCAATATAAAACTCGAAAAAAAGTGAAAATTGATAGGCTGATTGAATATTTGTATATACTAGTAGTCACCCAGAGGTCTAAATTCGACCATAATAATTGTAAAAAATACAAGATTTTTGAACCAGCAATAACAAATATATATAACACAATGACAATAAAGAAAAGAGTAGAATTAAAACTTTCTGCGCACTTTTACTGCATTATTCATCCAAATACCTTGGAGTTCTTACCTCGACGTTCATTCTGGGCAATGGGATACGCCCCGAGGTCGAACCTGCACCCCTCTAGGAGCATACAGAAGACCCTATGGTTCTTTTATAGCATAGGAAACAAACAAGCTTGCGGCTCACCCGATGGTATGTGATTACCGCTGCCCATGAGAACTCTCAACACCAGGGCAATTGCAAGAGCGTTGCCGGCCTTTTAAGAAGGAATAAGCTCTTTTCTTGAGTTTCGATATCGTGTCGTTTAGGAAATACCATTGCTGGAAGTGTTTCCACAATATGGTTGTACCAGGCAAAAACTTTCTAGAAAAACAGGGATGGAACATTTCCTTCATCCAGATGATCAGTATAGTGTTTTAAAACGTGTGTATTATTTTGTACGTCACAAGTAATAATTAGTAGGTAAGTACCTGCGCAGTCATAGCAAATATTAGTCATACTCCTTACAATATTCACAATCAAGTCACGTCACATGATGTGTAAATACAATTGGTGTCACTAGTTCAACATAATTATACTATCACACGTATTATAACTGTCGTTTAAACAATAGTATTATGTTATTCGAACAATAGTTGAATGGGTATTGTTTGAATTATATGTATCCACTGAGATTGGTAGCGCATAAGACTGCATGTCTACCCCTATATATACGAATACAAAACGTGTTACTCTGAAAATTTTCTACAATAACTAATTAAACTCAATGAAATTTTATCCATACAATTACGTTTCACACTAGGCAATTTTTCTATAAACTAATTTGTTTTAGAATTATACGTAACTGAAAATTTCAACCAGAAAAGGAGATAGCTTTAATGTTTAGTTCATCAGCATGAACAAACCAAGACAGTATAAAAAAAATGTGCAAGACGAAGAATTAAAAAATTACAAAATATTTACTGTAATAATATAATAAGGCAAGTAGTGCGGAACGTAAATATTTACGGCAAAATTTCGATTGAAAGTATTGCCATAGGGAGAGGGGAGACGCAAGGTCTCAAGAGATAGAACGAATACTAAAGAAATTTGAGAATATTAAAGACGAACAATATTAATGTATTCTCAATTTGACCACAGACTTCAACAATAAACAGACCGAACTCTTTCTCTAAATTAACTAGTCTTTGATTCACGGATTAATATATGCTTAGATTACTAATACTCTTAAATATAATAGTAGTTTCAGAGCTATATTTCCATCTTCATCATTAAACTAGAACACAGACCATGTGTGATGCTATAATTAGATAGTCGTAGTTCGATATCGGTCATAAAATGTATATTAGAACTTACCCCAGCAGCAGAGAATGCCGGCGAACCGAAAGCGACAGCAATGGTCGACACAATCAGGTACAGAAACACGAATATCACAGACACGATCATTTCGATCTTAAGCCACTTCACATTGTGGTACTTCTCCACCACGTGGAACATGTACAGCAGCAGCATGCCGCCCGAGTAGAGGAACGCGAGGGCGGCTACGAAGTTGAAGAACACGCCGCGACCGTTCGACCAGAACGCCGACGCTTGGACGCAGACGAAGGCAATAAAGCTGAACACCTGAACGAAAATATTTCTTTTCATAGATGCACTTGTTGATCCGCTATTTCATCTGCATCACACTTACTTTACATTTATATAATACTTTATAAATGTGATTGGTTGTTGTCAATTAAAATACAACTATACTCCTATTAAAAAAAAACATATTTTAGAACTTACAACAAGAACAACTTTGATGATGCCCGATGAAGTCTTCAGGTACGATGGATCAAATCGCACCTGAGTATTGAACACTGTGTTTGCAGAGCCCATTGTCGGGGGTGCAGGTGGTTGGCTGGGGTATGCCATTGTGACAGTTCACCATGTAGAAACAAACCTGCAATGGAAACACAAGCCTAAATCATCTCAAATCAATTCAATTAAGCTTTAAAATCACACACCTGTATTATTTGTCAATTCTCAAAATTTCTATTAATTAAGCATATTCTAGAAAAGAATAGAATAGAAATTGTTCATTCAAATAAACTTAATTTAAGCACTTTTGAATAGTCATAGTTATCATTCTTTTAATCTACCGCTCACTCAACTTAGGGAGTCCTGTCTATACATTAGTGCAGAAGAAAATTCAATATAATTAGATTTGTTATAGGTGCATGGAATTGAACCTGTGACTATATAACGTACTATGAAACGGTTTTTCTTAATAAAATGATTCCAGAGGAAGGTTTATATGAATAATACATGTAAACTTGTGTGAAGCTGTGTAGCTAGTTTTATTTATTTCTAAAATAAAGTATATATACGATCTAGATGTATATGTACCTAATTTATTTTAGAATGATGAACTTAATATATAACTAATACTTGATCTACTCACAGAAGATTGGAGTGTAAAAACACGACACAAAAATAAGCTTAAGTATACTAGAAGAATATTCACATAATTTAGTTCAATAGCACAGAATAGAAAATACTTTATTCAAATAAACTTAATTCAAGCACCTTTAAATAGTCGCAGTTGTATTCTTAATTTTCCGCTCATTCAAAAAGCTATTTCAACACAAGTAGAATAAGCTTATTAATAATAAGTTTATTGTAACTATAATCGCACAAACCGTATAAAACAAATACTGGAAGTCTCTCTCACCGTCACACGATTACACTGAATCCTGTATAAAACATTAGTGAGTCATATTAGCGCAAAAATTGTGTTTTGATAATTGATAACACTTTGTTTACATCATAGAAAAAAATATGTTTAAGTTCAGACGCACATAATTAAATTCTGAGAACTATTTTGTTTGATATTTGGCAGCTGTGCAGCACAGAACAGAAATAACTACGATTTCACAGTTTCAATTTGGCATTATTGGGAATGGCACTCGGCAATTAAATGATAATATAAAAGATGTATATTTTACACCTTACGTCAAAATAATAGAGTTGATTCTTTTATTTAGTTCAATAATGAATAAACTAATTTTATATGAAACATCACTGTCAGACATTTTGTCCCCTTCGCACAGTTTATAATAGATATTTTACCAGTGGATAAAATATGTACAAACAAAACAATGAATTTGAACACGTGTATATGTTTGTCATATCTTGGAAATACATTCCGTTTATTCCTAAGACCAAAAACTGTTAATGTTCTTATGAAAAAAACGGATGAATTAAATTAGTATTTTAGAAGTGAAGTGGGTGGTCGAGGGGAGGTATAATGTCAAATTTGACATTTACGTCTATAGGGTAAATGTACCAATCGTCATCCCATTTATATTCAGAGCATGAGTTTTTATTATTGCATTAAATTATACAGTAAGGAAATGATCTTTTATATATTTTTTTAATTTAAATCTTACTGACACCAAAAAACGAAGTGTAATTTGTATTACACTTATCATGATTTTTATATGGATGGATTTTAATAATAGGTACAAGCCTAACTGCTAGTATACTATAGTAATATGGGTATCACCTAACCACTGTAGCTTTAAGACTGATGTGTGATGAGGTTTCGCTATTTTACATATTCCCTGTAGCATTTTCATATGTAGGATTACGGTGAAATATTATAATAATGGCGTAATTATTGCTTACCTTTCATATTGTGTTACGTGACATGATTAACGCGTACAGTCTTAATACGGATTTACATTAACTAAAGCTAAAATAAAATTATGCGGGGTTTAAACAAATGGAACGGTATTGATAGTTGACTGTTAATACTATTGCTAGCACCAAATTTGGTTGACCGCCACGCAGTTCCCTCTGAAAGTCATTACGATATATCCCTGGTGAATTGGTCACGATGAGCTAATTGTCCTGACTTCATGTTCATCCTATCATTTTCCACTGGCACCTGTCATACCCGTAAACAATTAGCGCAGGCGGGTGCACTATTTCACTACCATCCATTAAGGGGGTCTTCCTATGTGATGGGTTGAAAAAATCGTTTTTTTTTTTTCATAAATTGCTCCCTTAACATGTCTGGAATACGGTAGTAAAGCGATTTTAGAAAATTCGAAGTCGTTTTAAAGATACAGCAGGTAAAAGAAAGAGCGGTTCGGAGCGGTGAGTTGGCAGTTAGAGACCGGGCCTATTGTGTACCGTCGGCTTTATACCTGGCCTCCCTTTTATTAATATATTTGTTTATACAAGTTTAGACACGTTTCTACAGACTTAAACAGAAAAGGAGCAGGTAAACTTACTGATAAAGTTATCCAAGAAATTACAAAATTCTACGGATTTTCGACGCCATCCAGATTCGCTTGAAGATATGAGAAAGGAAGTTTGGGCAACGTAATCACAAATGTTCTTCTGATTCAGCATCAATTTTGTCCAGAAGGCGAAGACAGTTGGTGTAAACCAATTTCATCACGATAAACCACCTCTAATTCCGCAAGTCCAAGAAGCTATCAAACCGGTTTTCGAAGATTTATCGAAAGACGAATTATTAATTCGTTGTTTAGGAGCAGAGACACAAAACAATAACGAATCTTTGAATTCTTTGATTTGGACTTTCGCTCCTAAACATCTTCATTCTGTTCCCAAAGTTGTTGAAATTGCTAGCTACTTAGCAGTTATTATCTTTAATGAAGGTTTTCAAGGTATTTTAAAAGTTATGTCGATTATGGGATGCCCTGTTGGTCGTGAAGCCCAAGCGTATATTGAGAACGGGTCGTTAAACAAGCCAGGATTGACTCAAGAGCTGAACAATCTGCTTTAAAAGAGTTTCACGAGGAAAAGGAAGGAATACTCTATGGACCAGGCATCGCCGATTGAGAGTAAGTTGATATTTTAATAGTTTTTAACGAACTTGAAACTTTAAACGCGTTTTTCTCAAAACTGTGTTTTTCAAACTTTCCTCCATTGTATCTCAGAAACGGCTGGACCGAATTACTTGAAATTTACAGGGCACACTCAATATATGTAAACGCATGGAATGAACTATTATCAATCGAAAATTTTCAAAACTTCGATTTTTTTATAGCAAAAAACAAAAAAAAAAAAACGCCTAATTTGCAACTTTTATTTCAAATGTCTATCAAAAATCCAATTTTTTTTATATTCATTTGATTATAGGTCATTCCGTGCTTTTAAGCCTACAAATTAAAACGCCGTTTTTTTTTTTTTTTTCAGATAAGCCGATCAGCCGGAATCGTGGAGGAAGTGGGAGCTCTTTTTTTCGAGGCGGGGGTGTTCAGAGCGCTGTAACTCTAGTTTGACTGAATATTTTTAGCTGAAATTTTATATTTATACTGTCCAAATATGTGTTAATAAATGATAAAAAACTTGAAGCTCTAAATATTTACTGGTTTAAAATATCCCTAAAAAACAGGCCGTCACATAGGAAGACCCCCTTAAAAAAACTGTAATGAAACGTGTAAACATAGAAGTATTTTTTTTTTCAGCGCAACTAAAATGTCCATTAATTCATATTTGCTTTTTAGAATTGCACAGAATAAAACAGTTTTAATATTTCTAAGTCGTACATAATTTATGACTTTACGAATTTAAGATAATCGTTGCAGGTAGGTGTTTATGTCATTCACCCTATTCCCTCCCGTAGAGTTTTTGACAGTTGCTGTATGTTTAAGCTTTCATAAAATTTGTATTTTCGCTCAATTTGTTCAATTTATTGAAGTTTTACTATAAATAATTGACTCGTTAATGTAAAGTGAATGAATTATTAATATATACAAAGTTTTGTATTTTATGTAAGTAAATTTCAAATTTCTTTTATAATTGTATAAAATCGTAGTGTATTTTTGTGCGCTCCGTTGATAATCACCTATTTTGGGTGATGACGGACGACCGCCTTGATATTTAATATGTCCTTATAGTATTATTAGTTGTGAGCGCTAAGTATAACTGGTAATATGCAGTAAATATTGTGGAGTTATTGTTGTCATAAATTTCTATGTCAATAACTGCAGTGTACGTAACATTTGCTCAATTTCGTGGGAAAGTTGCACATTGCACAATATTCTCTAGCGCTATATGAACATACGTTATACAATAGGCAAGCTAACATTAAAAGTAAGCAATTTAAATATTAGAAACTCACTTGGCGTCTTGTTATCTACAATCAACATAATATACTTACAATTTCATAATAATATTGTATTGTATTTTAATCATACACACGCTACTTATAGATGTACATAATCTGATTACAGCAATCAAAATAGGTTTTATTAATTATAAGTAATTTATTTTTTTTCTAACCTCAAAATTTAGTATATATTTTACCTTTTTATGACTAATGTATTATGACTAAACCAATATGATATAGAATCCAGTGACTTGTGTATGTCTTGAGGCAACATCATACATATATTCCTGGTGTTCTTGTATATATAATAATAATAAAATAAAACAGACTCATTGCAAATCCCCCTCTTAAAACTATTAGAACCTCATTCTCAACACAATAAAACAAACTTCATCATATCATCATCACATAACTCACCCAGGCTTGGCTAAGGTCCGCATGTTTGAATGTATTACCCCCGTAAAAAGGGAGGTATATAAAATATATATATGTATAAATAATAATAATAATAATATCAATCTTGGCTTTGGCCCGTAAGTCTCTAAATACATCTAAGAGTAAGAAATAAAAAAAAATGTGGGAGCAAAAGTTGAAGCAATGAAACAACAATAATAATCATCTTTATTGGTCTCAAATTAAAACAAATACAATTGCTGCTTATAATAAAGTTTAAAAATCATAAATGTGACAAAAAAGTCTATAACTCAGAGGGTGCAGTGAGTCCACCATCTCTACTATTCTATTACAGCCTTTATTAGTAAATTAATACATTAAGAGGTACAATATATGACGATGACAATACCACTTATGTTATAGTCTGTCCTCTACTTACTCTTAAAGTTTCTTAATGTCGGGAATATACATGTGACACCCCTGGTGTTACATGATAACCATTTACCATCAGATGGAATGTATGTTTGCCACCATAATGATGTAAAAAAATATTATCCTATTATATCTCGCCATGTGTTGCTGTAGCTAAGGTTCTTGAATAAAATAATATTGCGATTATAAATTGAGATGTAACCTATCCTATTTTTCAAGTTGGATTAAATTGCACACAATGTGCAAATCAAATTTGCAATTGGTTCAGTAGTTTAGGAGTCCTTTGTAGACAAACACCGTGATACATAATTTATATATTTGCAAATTATGAAGATGTATGGGTCAGCTAGTCTTTAGCTGACCCATACATCTTCATAATTTGCAAAATATCTTTATTAATTATAGCCTATGTGTTATTCTAATGTAGTAGTATTATTACCGTGAAGTTTCATCAAAATCTGTTCAGTAAATAATAGTTAAAATCTATTCATTTTCTTGCTAGTAGTTTTTGCATGAAAGAGTAACAAACATCCATCCATACTTAAAAATTTATCCATTTTTTTTATACTATTATGTTGGCAAGCATGCATAACGCCCATCTGATGGTAAATGGTTACCGTAGCCTATGGACACCTGAAGCACCAGGTGTGTCACGTGCGCGTTGCCTACCCTTAAGAAACCTTAATATACCCTCCTTGAAAAACCCATTTATAATATTAGTAAGACAAAATCTACGCATAGTCGCTAGTTACATATAGTTTGTTATATTCAAGTGATGATATTCCAGCTTACTGAACAATGGCAGAAGTTGGATTCCCAGGACAGCACACCACCACAACAACGGTGACATCCAGCACTACGGTACAGACCAATCTAAGGTTTGATCCAGAATATGTCAAGACAATACCAGGAATACTCAAAGTTGTTCAAGTTGTAAGTATTTTAAATATATCTTAAAACCCTCTTATGGTTTAGCACATTGCCTTATGGGTTTGAATACAAACATTTGAATTCATGTTATTTTTTTATACAACTATGTAGCAATCTAAATATATATAACTCAAAGGTGACTGACATAGTGATCTATCAACGCACAGCCCAAACAACTGGACGGATCGGGCTGAAATTTGGCATGCAGGTAGATGTTATGACGTACGCATCCGCTAGGATTTTGATTAATTCTACCTCCAAGGGGATGAAAGTTTGTATGAAACTTTGTCAATTTTAAACCGATCGGGCTGAGACTTTGCATGCAAAAAGCTACTATGACGTCGGCATCTACCTAAGAATGGATTTTGATAAATTCCATCCCTAAGGGGATAAATTAACGCGAGCGAAGCCGCGAGCAAAAGCTAGTCAACCATAAAGTTCATGTGATGGTAATAATAAATGAAATGAAAACACTGTCTCTGAAACGTATTAAAAGTAAAAATAACTTAATAGCACGTCACCTAGTGGGTCCTTAACAAAACAAAGCTCTGTACAATTGAAATGGACTTTACACTTATGATTCTTTCTTCTTCAGCCGTTCACTCTTGGCAGAGTGGTCGTGGCTTTCATGATGGTATATTTTGTGGTATGGTATCGTTGTGGTCCTTGGCGAAAGAGCTCCTTACAATTTGCCTCCACCTGGTACGGTTAAGGCTTCACGAGTACATTGTACCATGGACTGCTGTGTAGCCGTTCTTATAATGTCAGTCCATCTCTTTGGTGATTGACCCCGAGAACGTCTGCCCTCAACCGAACCTTGGATAATTAGCCGCTCCGTACAATTATGATATATAAGGTCTATTATCACAGCTGACAGGTATTCCACTGCGTTTCAGGCAGCTGAAAGTTGTATTTAAAAATTTACATCTGACAAATTTTGCAGTTACAGGAGTGACTGTCTTTTTTCTTCACGTTTGTACTGACTTATAATCTGATTATTTTTAGACGATAATCTCTGGATCTACAGACCCTATTTAAAAAAAAACATTTACCATTAAAATGTCACGTTATTAGTGAGTATCGTAGGCTTTATAACATCACGCTACGACCAATAACAGCGGAGCTGCAATAAAAAATGTTGCAAGAACGAGGGAAATCTGCGGTAGACAAAGTTACGCTGGTCTGCTATTATCTATATCTATACTAATATTACAAAGAGTTTGTTTGTTTGTTTGAACGCGCTAATCTTAGAAACTACTGGTTCGAATTGAAAAAATATTATTGTATTAGATAGTCCATTTATCGAGGAAGTCTTTAAGCTAGACAACATTACGCTACGACCAATAAGAGCGGAGCTGCAATAAAAAATGTTGTATTAAGTGGAGAAATGTGTGGCAGGCGAAGTTGCGCGGGATAGCTAGTATAAAATATTACGAACTCCAGTTTATTTATTGACTACGCTACAATGCTCGTTCCCTGATGTGATTATTACGTGTTTAAGACCGCTGTAGTATCGATTACACATTTTATCGCTATTTAAAAATTTACAGCGCAGGTGTTACGGTTTACACTGGGTTACATGTTACACTTACATTACTGTAATTTTTAATATGTTGTCATTGATTATAATTACTTTTTATTCGTAATTTTTGAAGTCTAAACTGTATAGTAATGCTTTTTTTAATGGATATAAATAGCAAAAGATTATGTACATTCAAGACACGATGTAATATTCAAGATATTGTCATTTAAAAGAGAAAAAAATTAAGACTACAAAAAACACGCAGACATGGCTGTATGGGCGCAGTTTCCTTAGGCTTACCTTTAACGGATAAGTAGAACAGAAAAAAAATAACTGTGTCCATGATTGCTAATCTGTATTTTGTTAATTTAAAAAAAGAAATTAGAACTAGCAGATTTAAGTATGGTTGAGCGCAGTGATGGCTGGCTCACCCGTTATACTCGTGAACGTGTGCTTGTAGGACTGGTCTGCTCTGATACCTAAGACTGAATTATTTTGTTACTCAAGTTACTATTCATTTATTTACGTTAACTTTACTATTTGGCAGTTAGTATTCACACAAAATTGATAAAAATGTAATTCAGAACAATATTTATTTAAAAGTACAACACGCAAGTTTCTTACTTATTCTTCTTGTTATGAGTATGCTTTCTGAATGAGTGTTAGACTATTTAATTTTGCTTTAAGTTTATTGCTATATGTATTTCTATTTCTAAATATGTTATTTCTTATGTTATATATATATATGTTATTAGTTCTAATATTCTCGTTATTGGAACAAAAATACAATAATTTACAACTTAAAACCATACCATAGCTTACAAAGCAATCAGTGTTCTAAAATAATCATTTACAATGATTCACAAAAATGTTTTATATTTATTAATAATACATCAGAATTAGTAATATTAGCGGCTGATATGAATTGCTGATAACACGTTTGTTGAAGCCATATGTCGATTTTACTGATTTATTAATATGAATGGTTGTATCTCGTTATGAATCATCCCAGGTGATTGTTTGGAGGAAAAATTCAAAGAAACCTCAATAAAAAAATATTAAAATAAAAAAGTACTTATATGTGCATAAGTAGGTATGTACCTACTTATGCGGTAGATTAAAAAAATGTAATGACTATTCTTTTTTTTTCTTTTTTATATCTTTTTAAATTTAGGTACTTTTATACCATCTAAATACATGTCAGTCCCATTGTACCCTAAAACCAATCACTCCGTTACCTCACCAATGAACAAATTGCCTTAGCCGCACCGTCCGAAGGATCGGCTAAAACAGTTTGTATGGCACCAACATCTAATATATTTATTTAATGACTATTCATAAGTGCTTCAATGTAAGTTTATTTGAATAAATGATTTTCTATTCTGTTCTATACATGGTTATTTGTGAAGGGTTAACAAGACTGAAAGACAGATTGAATATTCATGTAATAAAAAGCAATAAGGCTAGCAATGTACTATATCAGGTTGACCTCCACGATTGTTGGAAACCATCGTGACACATTGTGGATGATGATCTCATCACGTCCATATCACTCCACTAGTACCCCGCCAGCGTAACCAGCGCTAATACTGCGGGTCCAACATTCCACAATAATAAAAAGCAATAAGATTATTGCTAGCAATGTACCATATCAGGTTGACCTAGCGCCCCCACGCATCCCGAATACTTTTCCTCTTGGTCCCATTGTTTCGCCTGGAAACGTGACGCATTCAGTTGTGTGATGTTTTATCTTTTTTAATTTGTCACGATGGTCTGTCTGTCTGTCTGCCAAAACCTCATGAAATTTTCATTTTATCATCCTTTTTAATGCCAAGGTTATCTTTATGCGGTTGAATACACACTTATTATAATAATGGCTTAACTAAAAAATTTGATATTTTGGAAAGCCTTTATAATTGTGTTATTAACTATTTTCAAAAATTTTTAATTTCGTTATAGATATGCGACTTATTAACACTCATATGTCATAAATAAACTGCGCGCGCACATATATGTTGCGCGCGCAACTGATTATTGTCAATCCGTTGTCTCCTTATGAATTTAAATGAATAAATCCAATTTTATTTTATAAATACATAAATATAATCTGGTATAGCCTATAACTGATGACCCTGCTCTTGGACAAGAGCGTAAGAACATATTATTAATATTTTTGAAGAATAAAACAACATATAATATTAAGAATATTGTCAATATTCAGGGTCGGAATACGCGTTTCTCCCTTCTGGTCAGTAGAGTCAGAGATATGGTTCGCGCAAGTAGAGGGATAGTTTGCAATTTAGAATATCACATCTATTATTTTGATTTAACAAAATTTTATTATGTTATTGGCCAACTGGACCACCAATTTTCAAAAGAATTTAAAGAAATTTTTAAACTGTTTATTAAATATAAACAAAATATCACATTTAAATTTGTAAATATCACATTGTCACCATTCAAGGGGTAAAATAAAATAGCAGATAAAAGTTTTTATGGAAATTCGTCATATTTGAAGCTAGAACGATGAAGCTTTTTTCTTACGCTTTTTTGGGTCAGTTTATTTAATAAATACCTTACTAATATTATGAAAGTGAAAGTGACTCTGTCTGTCTGTCTTAAAAGCCAAAACTTCTGAACTGATTTAAATGAAATTTAAAGTCTAGATCTTGAGATAGGACATAGGTTACTTTTTAATGCTAAAAAGGGTTATAAGAGACTGAAAGAGGAATTTTTTAAAAGTTTAAGCTTCAATCTTATTTTTTGCGTATTGATTAAATATAATTAACGAAAATGGGTTGTAAGGGTCAAAAGGGGAGTTAAAATGTTGTATGCATGTATTGTCATTTTTTAAAGCTAGAAACTTGAAACCCATTTTTTAGGCTGTTGAGAAAATATCAGTACCTACCGCCACAGGACTCAGCCATAAATGGTTACAGTATAGCGACATCTTATCATTGGTACATGATGACACTAATATAAGTAGCATTAAAAAAAAAAACAAGAAAAAGGGTTATAAGGGGTTGAAAGGGGAGATGTAATGTATGTATGGTATGTATGGAAGTATCTTCATTTTAAAGATAGTAATTTAAAACTTAGTTTTTGGCTGTTGATTGAATTGTATGGAATTATGTATGGAAATTTCATTTTTGAAGCTAGAACCATGAAACTTTTTTATTGGGTTAGATTATTAATATATATTTTTTATTATTTGCTCAAGGTCACTATTTTACGCGGATTTTGTCTATATTTTTCATATTATTATATTGTTTTACATGTGACCTAAGTTATTACGACGATCTACGATTCTACGACTACATCGGTGTCGTTTTCTTTGCTCGTTTCGTCTTGATCTCCTTCATTCACACCAATATATACGTTAATTAATATGGATGGTATTAGGCTTTGTTTAAAATAATAATAATTTAACACATTGTTTGCAGGGAAGCAGCCTGCTAGGCTTCATCTGCATCATGTGCTCAAGATTTAGCTACATCGGGAAAGCGGTCTACTTCAGCTGGATCTCCATGATCGCGTTCTGGTTCACGGGTATCCTGCTAGGGTTCTACCTGTTCCACATGGTGGAGAAGTTCTACAAGATCCCCTGGCTCAAGATTGAGTTCGTGTTCTGTGCGCTCTGGACTCTACTGTACCTGCTCGCGGCCATCTTGGCCACGACTGTGCATGACAACCCTCATTCTGCTGCTGCGGTGAGTTTTTTTTTATTGTATGACTATGACATGTAACTTCCGTTATGGCTTGTTGCAGTAATGGAATATCTTTAATTTGGTAATTTTGCGGAAGTACATTTTAATACTTAATGGAGTTATATTATTTTAATTCTGATACCATTATCATGTAATGTTCATCAGCTTCAAAGCAGCCCCGACAAAGAGGACTGCCAGTAGCACCTATTGATTACAAATGTTTTTTAAGGGACAGTGGCCCGTTATTTTTAGTTGATATCTATCTAGATTTAGTAGGCGTTTTGTCAATCGATGGTTCGTTTTAGGAATTGCCACTTTCGATTGTTTGCAATCAGTGATTTGTTTCCATCTTTGGTTTTGTATCTCGGTGGACCTTTGGCGAAGCCAGGTTCGAAATTGCGAGAAGGGTAATGATAAGAGCGGGAGGAAACTGAATAGTTGTGATTTCGCATCGCTAAGCTGAATTAAACAGAAGAATATCTAATGGTATACGATAGAGGGGCACCAGTGGAGGATGGTAAAATTTAAAAAAATCTAAGTTCAAAATATTTTTATTCATATGGTCTATTATAGACTCTTATGGTATGTGAAATCTACATGATAAGATAAGCATGAAGTCAAGTTAGTCACTCCATATGAGGAATTACCTAGAAAGTAACTCCTGTAATTACCAAAGGATCGTGGGGATCAGACATGTATACTGTTAGAATTGGGACCATCAGTCCTCATCATTAACCATCTCTTCTCACTTTCCCATACAGATTTGCTAGAGGATGTGTTTACCAATAGACTGTAAAAATGAGATGGTTAGCTTTATTTATGCGTTTGGAATTCAAACAAGCGGTAGAACTAAGAAACCTTTTTGTAATATTCGTGAACGATAAATCCAGGTTGAAGTTGTACAAAGTTATGAGATTTATGGCAGAAATAGTGAGAAGAAGTTGTTTGACTTTGTCTCACCTTTCAGCCGTCAAGCAGGTTGCTTTATACGATAGGTTTCGGTTGAGGAACTACATGGTATTATTATTATATTATACAATGGACTGTGTTTTGAGGAATTGTTCGACATGATGCCTACGGCCACCTTTTACCATCGCACCGCTCGCCATCGACAGGGAATTCATTCCCACACGCTGGAACCTAAGTGGTCTCGAACCGTGCGGAAGATGCCTTCTTCTTCCGCACGGTTCGACTTTCGTTGCTGACCCTTAAGAAACCTTAATATACCCTTGTATATTAAGGTTTCTTAAGGGTCAGCAACGCGCACGTGACACCCCAGGCGTTTCAGGAGTTCATAGTCTACGGTAATCCATTTACCATCAGAAGGGCCGTATCCTTGTTTGCCACCATCGTAGTATAAAAAAAACAGAATTACAGACTCTGTATGCTTGATATCTCAGTCTTCTGGTATGACAACGCACGTGGTACCATGATCATAGCAATTTAAAAAAATGGACTCCAATTTATCACATGTCATAAAAGCTGCCACCTTTTTGATGCAGTTCTTCGGATTCGTGGCAACAGCGGCGTACGCCGTCGACGCGTTCCTCAAGTGGCGCGCGGTCCGCGGCGGGGGACTCGCGCAGGGCTCGCGCGTCGTCTCCAAGCAGACCACCTCCGTGGAGTCTCCGCCCCCGAGGATCGGATACTGAACACCTTACACCTGCTACCGAACCGTGGTGAGGCAACCCCAGATTACCAGTCACACCTTAGTGTTTTAATAATCGTATTGTTTTAATAGAATAATTTATCGTGCACGTAAAAGACCATTCAAATATGTACAGTTTATAATTGGAACAAATTACAATAGCTGCCTTTATACGAATCGTTTTATCGCGCGCGATTATGACCGCACGCGATATAGCGCGGGAAAGTCAGTTCACGTAATCGCTAATGATTTAGTTTCATTATTTTTTGTGTTCACTCTTTTCATGAGTAGCGTTAGTTTAATGTCATTTCATTTTTTAAAATTAATCTTAAGGTTTTTGGAAATAAATCGTAATGTTTTTTCCAAAAGCTTTATAAATTATCAATTACTTTACTCCATATCTACATCTGTATATATCCGCCATTTTGAAATTAGAATTAATTGTTACAAAAAAACGTTAGAGCACGCACGACTGAGGGACGCGGAAATGCGCGAGTTGACGACGTCGAATCGCGCGTAACGACCGTACGTGTAAAAGCAGCAAAGAATAAAGGTTAAAGGGACTTAACATATCCATAAAGAGCTTCGTATATAAGATATTACTATGTACATTCACGTTTACTACACTTTATTAATATATATATATATATACTTAGTGAACTAAGACAGCTCGTGACCGAGTACTAATAATTACGTCTGCTAATTCAAACTCTAGTCCAAATGTAATGTCGTGAATATTGTATTTATCAATTGATTATTAAATAATAATAATAATCTCAGGACAATTCACACAGCGCCATCTAGACCCAAGTTAAACTAGCTAAAGCTTGTGTTATGGGTACTAGATAACTAATACAAATACATAGATATTTTTTTTTCGTAAATATATATTATACATAGAAAACACCCAGACCGATACAAACAATCATACTCATGAATACAAATGTTTGTGCTGTGAGGAATCAAACCCGCGACCATCGGACGTAAAGCGGTATGCTAGACCGCTAGACCACCGAGGTCGTCAAATAATAGTAATGTTTTAAATTTGACGCGTCATTATTTATACTTATAATTAGTAAATCACGGGATTTTATCAAGTTTTATTTTTTATTGAGTTCCCGATATTTCGACAGTGTTTCAACCGCCATGATCACGGGTAAACTATACGCTATACGTCGAGATATCGGGAACCCAATAAAAATAAAACGTGGTAAGATCCCGTGATTTATATTATATACTAGCTGTACCCGCGATTTCGTCCGCGTGGTTTATAACTTTATTTTTCTAAAATAAGAGTAGCCTAAGTTACTCTTTATTACATCAGCTACCTGCCAAAAGAAACCTTCAAAATTGGTCCAGCTATTTCAGAGATTAGCCGGAACAAATAGACCGACAGACAGACAGACAAATTATAAAAAATGTTATTTTGGTGTATGTACCGTATTTATATTCATATGCATGTAGTAAAAAACGGTTATTTCAATATTACAAACAGACACTCCAATTTTATTTATATGTATAGATGTATAGATTAGTAAATCTATACGTATAAACAATGTTAATAAACTTGATGTTCATAAGTGGCTAAAATGTCCAGCATTGTTATTTTAACTTTACTGCTATCGTAATGTTTAATCTGATTTCAAGTAAAAATATCTATAAATACGAATTAATGCATTTTCTCTAATATATCTATTGTTAAACAATTTATTTGTTAATAATTAAACTGATTGTTAGTTTAGCATTAGTTGCTTACAGGGGTGGAATGTTGTCCCCATCTTAAACAATTTTAAAGTTCTGTTCAGAGTTCCCTTCGTCTTTTCGTTAGCAAATCATTTATTAAAACGACAAAGATTGTTCAATAATTATTTTATAGGATTAACTCCTTAATTATGATGTTTCCATCTTAATAAATTTTATTATTCTGTCGCGAGTTCCTTTCGCCTTTTTGTTAGCAATTTGTTTATCAAAACGGCAGAGTTTGTTCAATAATTATATTATAGGATTAGTTCCTTAATTATGATGTTTCCATCTTAATAAATTTTATTATTCTGTCGCGAGTTCCTTTCGCCTTTTTGTTAGCAATTTATTTATCAAAACAGCAAAGTTTGTTCAATAATTATTTTATAGGATTAACTCCTTAATTATGATGTTTCCATCTTAATAAATTTTATTATTCTGTCGCGAGTTCCTTTCGCCTTTTTGTTAGCAATTTGTTTATCAAAACGGCAGAGTTTGTTCATTAATAATTACTACTAGCTCTATTAAATAATATAATAGAATTGAGGGCTTTATATATGCTTTATTAATAATTTATACATTAGATTGCTAATTTCATTAATATTATTAATATATGTAAGTTACATTTAAATAGTGAGTTCATGTTCATATACTGTGCGCACACTGTTTTTCTATTAGTATACACTCATCTTTGACACTTCCGGTGTCTGTTCACTTAGATCTAGTTTAAGGCAGAACTAGGTGAGAAAAAGGCGCTCACCTGTAAGTTGTGGTTCACAACTTACAGAGTACGATTTCATGACAGCAAGATATATATGTCGAAATATTGTATTATTTGATGTCAATGTATTCGATGATTAAAAAATATAGTCTTTAAAAAATTTTACATATTAATGTAAAACACAAAAATGTCCAGTCATCATATGTAGGTTTTAAAGTGAATATATGTATTTTGTATATTAAAATGAACAAGATATATAATAGTTATATATGTCCATGTGGAACAGTCATAACACTATAGAGTTATGTTGATATAACTTTATGTTTTCAATTAAAACCTATAATGTCTACGTCTAATTGTATTTGTGTTCAATAATTTAGAGATTTTAATATATAAGATTGGTTTTACATTTGTATCAAATATCGTTGATTGTATAGAAAAATGTCATTTTTCAAATATTGCAAAATTAGAAGCTAGAATTGCCTTCTTTTATATAAGTCAATTAAATTAACCACGCCGTCTTAAGCATTATCTGTGTAAATGTTTGTTAAAACTTTAAAGGAAAAATTAATAATTTCAATAAATTTAAATACATTAAATGCATGACTTGTAAAAAATGTACTTTTTGAATAGTGCCATTTTTCTATTTAACCGATCGTGCATGTAATTGTAGGAGCTAAAGAAAATTGGTCTCTATCGTGCACTTTTTAAAGTTCTCATCACCATGACTGTATTTGGACAATTTTTAAATATATAATTATTTTTATAAGTATATATATTATATGATTCTAGTTAATATTGGAATGTGATAAGTGGTTTATCCCATACGGATATTATAAGATTAAACCAAAGATTTTAATAGCGACCGTGCTAGAAAGCTCATTTTTTTTATATGAATATATTGCAATTAAAACTGTAAAACAAAATCTTTATATGTCTTACTGACTCTACTACTACCACTAAACTAATTATACAGTTAAGTTGCTTTACAGTATATTTCTACAACACCTTCTCTAATGCCATGTGTATCACCATTTGCGGTATTTCCGAGTAAAAGAGTGTTGCGTACAAGCAGCAACAAAACGCAACACAAAAGGAGCGTTCTGATTGGAGCGCACACCCATCCAATTTAAATATGCAACGTAATGTAACAGACAAAAAAATATCCACCGATCGATCTAACGTACTTTTGTTCACTCCACCAAATTTCTAATTATCATTAAGTTCAAGACTATAAGCAATTCTATCATTTTCTACAACCCGTAATCTGCTGAAGCCAACATCACCTACCATCTGAGCATTCGAGCCGCATCATCACGTACCATATATATAAATTGCTATTTTATATGGTTATACTCACCGGCTCTATGTTTTATACCAGATGCGCATCGACCCCTGTGTGAGAAATCTACCAAACGCCTAATTTTCACAATTAGATGTTTCAACTTATTAAATTTTATTATTTGTTAATTTTGTCCGAAATTATAATAATTTACTTTATGAATTACTCAATTTTTTTAATAAAAAAAAAATTATATATATATTGCTATTTTATATTGTTATCGTCACGGGCTCTCTTTTATACAACAATTCGTCATGAATTATCATATTTATAATATTATCTATTGTGGATATATATATTTATATACATACATGCACAATTCCATTCTTAATTCACTATAGATAATTTGCTATTTTCACAACTTTAGAACATGCATATAAAATATAAAACAATTATATATACTTTATTGCACTTGTACAAAATAGAGGTTATTAAAAAATGTGAATAAGAGCGGTCGTATCTTGAAGGAGATCTCTTCCAGTCAACTTAACGCTTTGACAGAGATGGTAGTTAACGGGCAATATCTTATATATAAAATTCTCGTGTCACAGTTTTCGTTCCCATACTCCTCCGAAACGGCTTGACCGATTCTCATGAAGTTTTCTGAGCGTTTTGAGTAGGTCTGAGAATCGGCCAACATTTAATTTTCATCCCCCTAAATGTTAGGGGTAGTCCACCCCTAATTTTTATTTTTTATTTTTTTATTATACAACATACAAAAATACATACAATCCTAAATTTTCACCCTTCTATCATCAACCCCTATTTTTTTATAGCGTTATTAATTTATATGGCAAAACAACGTTTGCCGGGACAGCTAGTTAATTATATAAAATAACAAAAACATACAAACACTTACTGAAATATATAAACAGGAATTATTATTATTATAAACTATTAAATATGTAATAAATATCATCGTATCAAATGAGAGATTATCTTGAAGTAATGTACAACGAATTTATATATACATATATACTCATTATTATAATGGTAGTAATGTAAGTGTACAAGTGTACAATGTAACACGAAAGAAAGAAAGAAAAATATTATTATTTGACTCATACAAAATATATAACAAGTAAATAAGATGCATAACAAACATTTATAATTATTTGAAAAAATACAAAAATACATACAATTATTAAAAAAAGCAATATAATTATGTTTATTTTACTTATATGTTTATACATCTTTACATAGTATAAAATTAAATCACTTCCGTTGTTTGTTCACTTATATCTTTTAATTTACGCAACGGATTTTAATGCAATTGTAAGCAATAGATAGAGTGATTCAAGAGGAAGGTTTATATATATAATACATGCGTGTTATAGTATGGAACAAGCGAGAAATTCAATTTTTTGTAATGCATACTGTAGCTATTATACTGTTTCTTTCTCGCAAGGTATATTCACGATTAGAGAGTAAGTGACACACAATATTTATAAATTGAAGGTTTTATGTTTTTTATATCACACTTGTATATGTAAGTAATATTATATTACATGATTCCCCATTTATTTAGTGGATTGAGTACCTGTTATTATCCTGGATTCTATTCTCAGGTCGAGCAAGTTTTTAATATATTTTGATTTATTACCTTACAAGTTTCCCCACTAATCTAGTGGATTGAGTACCTGTTATTATCCTTGATTCTATTCTCAGGTCGAGCAATGTTTTAATATATTTCGATTTACTATACATATATAAGATTTTATGTCTAGTATATGGATGCACCACTTTATACTGGTATTATTTTAATTTTTTTTTAGTTTAGCGTTATTAATTGTATTATCACAACTAATTGATAACAAAATGTATGTCATAAGTGTTAGATTGTATGTTTATTGCCTACTTACTATTATAATCGGATAAGTGAAGATAAAATTTATTTTTTTTAGCCAATCGGAATTAGTGCACAGTTTTTATACAGGTCATTTGTCTAATATTTCTATAGATATGTTATTATAATTGCGTTCTTAAATTTCACTGCAAAATATGATTATTTGAAAGTGTTTTGAATTAGGTTTATATGTATGTATTAATTTTAAATGCTAAAAATGTATCCCTTATAAATGTTTGATTCACAGAAGATGTTAAAATCAAGATGCCTAAAACCAAACATAAACTGTAATCTAGGTCACAGCTAAGTGTAAAGAATATAGAAAAATATGAAAGATCACATGAAGTATTTACACATTTCTTTAATATTAATAGTATGTTTGAAAGTACCAAATTTAGGTACCTAACATAAGATAGGTATAATATCAGTGACTATACAATGTATTTTGTAAAAACATTATCTACTATTTTAAATATAATTTATTTTAAATATGTATCTATTGATAAAATATTGTTTATATATCATGTTATAATAATTTTCATCCTTCTATAATAAAAGTACATGTATTGGGAAGGAACTGGCTTCTGTCATACGGCTAATGCTAGTTCAGAAGCCAGGACTACACATAAATACTGAAAGGATTGATATTGTCTGGAATGTGTACCTATTGTATAAATAATATTGTAACGATCCTTCTGAATTTAATAAAGATTATTATTACTATAGTTGTACCAGAGAAAATCGCGTCGCCAGACGTTTTAATCAGATAACTCAGAGCAGCTGTCTTCGGACCAACCTTATCAAGTCCTTAACACAGACATTCTATTTTAGCGTAAGATGTGTTCATTTGCATACTAAGAGCTATTATTATGTTTTAATACTAATATATAAGACTTTATTGTTTAATTAAGTATTAGATTTTTTTAACCAGTTGTGTCCAAGCAAGACTGTAATAGTCAAAATGCAGGTGATAGCCAGCCACATTTTACCTACAATTTAATTTCATTTATGTTTTTTTTTTTAAATTACAATGATGGCATCAAGCATACGGTTCATCTGATTGTAAACGGTTACCGTAGCCTATGGACGCCTCCCTGCACGCCTAGATGGAGGTCCCTTCGATGGGAACCATGCCGGTGGTCTTGGTGAATGCTTGCGTATCCCATGGGATACGCAAGCATGCACCGGTGCACCGGCACCGACCACGGCGATTATGTCGAGGAGGAACAGTCGTCAGGTTTTTAGCAGGTAGGAGTCCGGCAGTATCCATTCTTCCCTAAGGGAATGGTTCTCCATGATGGATTTTCCTGACGTGAAAAAAAAAAAAGCCTATGGACGCCTGAAACAGGAGGCGTGCCACATGCGCGTTACCAACCCTTAAGAAAGCTTAATATAACCTTCTTAAAAACCCCATGATTAAGCACGATAGCTTTCTGGGATCTGTGGATGTCGACCTGGTATTATGATGATGTTGATTTTGATAGTCATGAACTTTCTCATCATTGATAGATTAATCATCATCAACAATATCATCATCATCACATAATCACCGACATCATCATTATCATGTACAAATACACACGAAAATTATAGCAAAATCAAATTAATACAATATGTGGTTGATTAGACTTATTTGGGCTAACAGTGTAATATTATATATTATGGTCCATGCCCATAATCAATCATATACGGCCTTGAATTGATATTAACAGGGGCGGCTCTACCTACGGGCTTTATGGGCTGCAGACCTGGGCCCCGTGGATACAAATGCGCTCAGCCCCCACTGAAATTAATAGGCGATATTTAGATTTAAAAAAAACCTATCATAAAGCTGACAACCAATCAACCCAACGGCTTCTCCGTTGCTTGTTATTTATCGGTATATATTTTTTAGTTGAGTAATATAATTAGACTTGATACGACACGAAATAATTAATAACATTATTGAAGGAAAAATAGATGGAAAGAGAGGAAGGTCAAGACCAAGACAGCTATATCAAGCAAGTTAAGGAAAAAGTCGTGTCGTATCAACAGCTAAAAAGACTGATAGAAGATCGTGGAAATGGCGGGAGCTCCACCGACTAGAGCACAGCTCTTAAATTATGAATGAATATAATTAGGTAGCCCCGTAAGTAGTTTATTCCAGGGTCCCATAAATTCACGATATTTCCATGCTTTAAAAAGTAATCAATTAATGTTTATGATTAATTTATCTGTCAGTTGCGTCGCAATGCCCGTGTTTAGTGTTATTCGCCTGGTTTAGACAATTGAAGTCTTGTTTGGACATGTTTTCTAATTAAAAGAGTAGGTTATTTTAGCAATTAAGCAACACACCACAGTCATCGTATTATATGTGGCTTAATTAGCCTTCTATTGTACCTCCATTGAGTATTAACTAGCATTTTCTATGTTTTTTAATATATATATACTTGTTTGTTTTTAAATTATTTAACTCGAGATTACCCATCGATACAGTGCCTTAATGGAGAAATATTTACTTAAATAAGATATATTTTCAGATTTTAATAAATATATATATATTAACTTTTGTATGTTGTCATTACGAGTAAATGTTGTTAGGTAATGTTGGTATTATGTACTTAGTCACCTTGTTGCACGGTTATGTCGACAACCAGCGCCGTTATATACTTGTCTATGTGTACGTACATTTTGTAATATAATTTAAATAAAACTATTAATTCATAAATAATATTGTTTTATTTTAACTCGCTTATTTATTCCCGATATAAAATATATTATAACATTAGAAATGCATATAGGTATTTCTCTTATTTTCTAATAAAAAATAATAATTTTGATGGTCGTCTGTAGATTATAGCTTCAGCCGTTTTATGTCATCTATTTTGAAGTCAACCCTGAAACAAATTTAAATTTAATTTTTAATAATGGTGTTCAAAACAAAGGCGTCAAGGGACAGGCTTTTTTGATATGAAATGAAATTAAATCGTTGATTTTGCGAGGCATGTGGTGTGCACAGAGGTTATAAAGTGGGTACATATAGTTTCATAAAAACCGCTTTATATGAAGACATGCAAAATATTATATTGGTTATGTGTAAATAATTATATAATTTTTAGTTTTATATATATGTTTTTTTGGGATTTGGGGAACCAAACCAGAAGTACGCTAGTAAATCAAACCGCGAACAGCTTGTGTCTGAAATCGAGTACCTGCGCGCGAGCACGTCCCGGAGGTCCGGCGGCGCGAGGCGCGCGGCGGGCTGCAGCGCGTGCCGCGCGTGCGGCAGCCGCTCGAGTGCGGGGGGCGGGGGCGGGGGGGGGGGCGGGGGGCGGCCAGTACCTGCGCGCGAGCACGTCCCGCAGGTCCGGCGGCGCGAGGCGCGCGGCGGGCTGCAGCGCGTGCCGCGCGCTGCAGCCGCTCGAGTGCGGGGGCGGGGGGCGGGGGCGGGGGGCGGGGGCGGCCAGTACCTGCGCGCGAGCACGTCCCGCAGGTCCGGCGGCGCGAGGCGCGCGGCGGGCTGCAGCGCGTGCCGCGCGTGCTGCAGCCGCTCGAGTGCGGGGGGCGGGGGGCGGGGGCGGGGGGCGGCCAGTACCTGCGCGCGAGCACGTCCCGCAGGTCCGGCGGCGCGAGGCGCGCGGAGGGCTGCAGCGCGTGCCGCGCGTGCTGCAGCCGCTCGAGTGCGGGGGGCGGGGGCGGGGGGCGGGGGCGGCAGTACCTGCGCGCGAGCACGTCCCGCAGGCGGCGGCGCGAGGCGCGCGGCGCGCGCGCGTGCCGCGCGTGCTGCAGCCGCTCGAGTGCGGGGGGCGGGGGGCGGCCAGTACCTGCGCGCGAGCACGTCCCGCAGGTCCGGCGGCGCGAGGCGCGCGGCGGGCTGCAGCGCGTGCCGCGCGTGCTGCAGCCGCTCGAGTGCGGGGGGGGGGGGGCGGGGGGCGGGGGGCGGGGGGCGGCCAGTACCTGCGCGCGAGCACGTCCCGCAGGTCCGGCGGCGCGAGGCGCGCGGCGGGCTGCAGCGCGTGCCGCGCGTGCTGCAGCCGCTCGAGTGCGGGGGGCGGGGGGCGGGGGGCGGGGGGCGGCCAGTACCTGCGCGCGAGCACGTCCCGCAGGTCCGGCGGCGCGAGGCGCGCGGCGGGCTGCAGCGCGTGCCGCGCGTGCTGCAGCCGCTCGAGTGCGGGGGCGGGGGGCGGGGGGCGGGGGGCGGGGGGCGGCCAGTACCTGCGCGCGAGCACGTCCCGCAGGTCCGGCGGCGCGAGGCGCGCGGCGGGCTGCCGCGCGTGCCGCGCGTGCTGCAGCCGCTCGAGTGCGGGGGGCGGGGGCGCGCGGGGGCGGCCAGTACCTGCGCGCGAGCACGTCCCGCAGGTCCGGCGGCGCGAGGCGCGCGGCGGGCTGCAGCGCGTGCCGCGCGTGCTGCAGCCGCTCGAGTGCGGGGGCGGGGGCGGGGGGCGGGAATAGGGGGGGTTAATTACCTGCGCGCGAGCACGTCCTGCAGGTCCGGCGGCGCGAGCGCGCGCGGCGGGCGCGCGCGCCGCGCGTGTTCAGCCGCTCGAGTGCGGGGGGCGGGGGCGGGGGGCGGGGGGCGGCCAGTACCTGCGCGCGAGCACGTCCCGCAGGTCCGGCGGCGCGAGGCGCGCCGCGGACCATCGCGTGCCGCGCGTGCTGCAGCCGCTCGAGTGCGGGGGGCGGGGGGCGGCCAGTACCTGCGCGCGAGCACGTCCTGTTAATCCGGCGGCGCGAGGCGCGTATATAATTTTATTAGCGCGTGCCGCGAATGCTGCAGACGCTCGAGTGCGGGGGGCGGGGGCGGGGGGCGGGGGGCGGGGGGCGGCCAGTACCTGCGCGCGAGCACGTCCCGCAGGTCCGGCGGCGCGAGGCGCGCGGCGGGCATAGCGCGTGCGCGCGTGCTGCAGCCGCTCGAGTGCGGGGGGCGGGGGGCGGGGGGCGGGGGGCGGGGGGCGGCCAGTACCTGCGCGCGAGCACGTCCCGCAGGTCCGGCGGCGCGAGGCGCGCGGCGGTCATAAAGCCGCGCGACATGGCAGCCGCTCGAGTGCGGGGGCGGGGGCGGGGGGCGGGGGGCGGGGGGCGGGGGCCGGTGTCAGTACTCACGTTCCCCAGCTGGTAGTGCTGCCTCATGAGCAGCTTAGAGCGCGGCGGGCTCCGGGTGCGCGGGGCGGGGGGCGGGGGGCGGGGGGCGGCGGGCGGCCGCTACCTGCGCGCGAGCACGTCCCGCAGGTCCGGCGGCGCGAGGCGCGCGGCGGGCTGCAGCGCGTGCCGCGCGTGCTGCAGCCGCTCGAGTGCGGGGGCGGGGGCGGGGGCGGGGGGCGGGGGGCGGCGTACCTGCGCGCGAGCACGTCCCGCAGGTCCGGCGGCGCGAGGCGCGCGGCGGGCCAGCGCCCCCGCGCCGCTGCAGCCGCTCGAGTGCGGGGGGCGGGGGGCGGGCGGGGGGGGCGGGGGCGGCCAGTACCTGCGCGCGAGCACGTCCCGCAGGTCCGGCGGCGCGAGGCGCGCGGCGGGCTGCAGCGCGTGCCGCGCGTGCTGCAGCCGCTCGAGTGCGGGGGGCGGGGGCGGGGGGCCCTGCGCGCGAGCACGTCCCGCAGGTCCGGCGGCGCGGCGCGCGGCGCAGCGCGCCGCGCGTGCTGCAGCCGCTCGAGTGCGGGGGGCGGGGGCGGGGGGGGCGGGGGCGGCCAGTACCTGCGCGCGAGCACGTCCCGCAGGTCCGGCGGCGCGAGGCGCGCGGCGGGCTGCAGCGCGTGCCGCGCGTGCTGCAGCCGCTCGAGTGCGGGGGGCGGGGGGCGGGGGGCGGGGGGCGGGGGCGGCCAGTACCTGCGCGCGAGCACGTCCCGCAGGTCCGGCGGCGCGAGGCGCGCGGCGCGGCTGCAGCGCGCCGCGCGCGCGTGCTGCAGCCGCTCGAGTGCGGGGGCGGGGGCGGGGGGCGGGGGCGGGGGGCGGCCAGTACCTGCGCGCGAGCACGTCCCGCTGGTCCGGCGGCGCGAGGCGCGCGGCGGGCTGCAGCGCGTGCCGCGCGTGCTGCAGCCGCTCGAGTGCGGGGGGGGGGGGCGGGGGGCGGGGGGCGGCCAGTACCTGCGCGCGAGCACGTCCCGCAGGTCCGGCGGCGCGAGGCGCGCGGCGGGCTGCAGCGCGTGCCGCGCGTGCTGCAGCCGCTCGAGTGCGAGCAGCGCGGCGACCTGCGTGAGGCGCGCGCACCGCTCGCGGGCCGCGGGGGCTGCGCCGCCGGCCCAAGCCGCTAGTCGTCGCGCGCGACGCTCCACCGCCAATCCCGCCTCCTGAACACGCACATACACGATACCATTACCCATGTTTATGCAAGAAAATGAATAGTAGTGGTTAATTACATAATACGAACCCTGGTGTACCGGTTCTGCAATATACGGCGCTCGGTGTTCACCGCCAGATCTGTGACGGCGGCCACCAGCACGGCCTCGGCTACGGACGCCGCTAGCTGCGCGCGCGCCGCCTCAGCCAGCGTGTCCAATGCAGTTGGTAATGCGCTCGCATCGGATTCTTCTTCGATGTCCTCTGTTAATGAAAAATGTATATAATTTTATTAATTCTTAATTGGAATGTCTAAATGATAATAGAATGTTACGTCTCCTTGGTTTTATGGTATGCGCTGGCGGAGCATCCATGTCGGATGACCCGATGAGCATAGAGTCGGGTCACTGAAGTACTTGATAATTGAGCTGATAACAAACATTAATGAGAGTAGTAGAGTCTCGTACGGTCATAAAGTCGACATGGTTCCTCCTGTCACATACCGGTAGGTCCGTATCTCCCATGAAGTCAGGTTACTGAAGCACAATTAGATCGAGCTGACTAGAAACATTAATAGATGTAGTAGGCTCGAACGATCGTGAGGTCGGAAGGCCGCGGCGCCGGCCAGCCCCGCCCCCACCCCCGTACCTGCGTGCGCGGGCGCGGCGAGCGCGTCGGCCAGCCCCGCCCCCCCCCCGTACCTGCGTGCGCGGGCGCGGCGAGCGCGTCGGCCAGCCCCGCCCCCCCCCCGTACCTGCGTGCGCGGGCGCGGCGAGCGCGTCGGCCCAGGCGTGCAGGCGCGGCGCGAGCGCGGCCCGCAGCGCGGCGAGCGCGAGGTCGCGCGCGGCGCGGAAGGCGGCGGCGGCGCCGGCCAGCCCCGCCGCGCACTGCGCCGCGTGCTGCCGGCCGTGCGCCGCGTTGCTCAGCGCGCCCGCCGCCGCCGCCGCCTCGGCCGCCAGCTGCTCCGCCCACTCCCCGCCGGCCTCCGCCTCGTTCACGTGCGCCTGCACGATACACTCGCTCATCACACCTCACCCACAGTTCTTCATTAAGAAACTATTTGTAAACATAGTGACAAATCGGTCTGGTTTGCGCACTCTATAGAGCGACACGTCTAATTCGTTTAAATATAAAATTAAGTGACAGTCAATCTTTAGACATTTTTTGGGTTTTTCGTTCTCGGCCGAGACAAATTTCTCGGTTGAATTTGTAGTCGGCAATGCGGAGAGCGAGACAGATCTCGGTCGAGCCTTATCTCACACTCTCACCTCCGCTCGTGTCATCGCACGTAGATGTGCCGTCGCCTGTAAAATGTAAGAGTGGAAGCGAGGACTGACCAGGAAGAGCGCCCGCTGCGCGTCCAGGTCCCTGGTGAGCGGCGGCGGCGGCGCGGGCGCGGCGCGGTCGGCGGCGGGCGGCGGGAGGGGGAGCGCGTCGGGCGGCGCGCGCAGCCAGCGGCGCAGCGCGGCGGCGGGCCGCTCCACGCCCGCGCCCACCTCGTTCAGCACCGCGCACGCGCCCTCCACGCTGCCGGTCGACACCGACCGCCTGCGCACCGCACACACTCGTCGTCACTAGTTACTAGTGATGATGTCGATAATGATAATGATGTTACACCCTCATCATCACTAGTTGTTAATAGTGATGACAATAATAATTACAGATCTCCAGGCTCTCTCCGAGGACTTACTGGTATTTAATAAATCTACTAAATGTTTTTGTGAAGTAAAGTTGTATAATGTATCGCTAGTTGCGGTATATAATATAGTTAATGATGTGTGCGTATGTGTGTATGTGTGTGTGAAATAAAAGTGAGTGTCTGTATGAGAAAGGGTGTGTAAAGAATCTAGATACTACCGAAAATCTCTTGTCCATCCCACCAAAGTAACAAATCAAACAAATATATAAGATTACCTTAATCTATCACCTCAGAACAGACAACAAACCTTCGGTATCTTCATACGATAGGGTTAATAACAACAACAATTTTTAAATGCATTTTATTGAGAATAATTTAATATGAAGCTTCTTGTTAATATTGTTGTACAAATATGGTCCCAAAAAGGGAAAAAATCTTTGAGCAAAATTTGTTCTAAATTTATAATGATGTCTGTTGCGGGTAAATGATACTATGTTGTTGGTCCAGACGATGTATATTATAGATGATAATAAACTGACAATATGTACATAGAAATAATGATCTTATATACTAAATAACAATAGGAAAATGTAAGGTGGGGTGACACAGTTTAAACACAGCAGTGCTTAGTAGACAATATTGAATTTGTCTTACTAGCCATTATTAAATGCAATTATTATTTTGATATATCTAGATGACTGTGTCCCATAATGTCGATAATGATAATGATGTTACACCCTCATCATCATTATCATCATCACTAGTTACTAGTGATGATGTCGATAATGATAATGATGTTACATCCTCATCATCATCGACTTTGTCACTATCAACATATTCGTCATAAAAATCACTTCCGACATCATCATTACCGTCATTCATATCGACTAATATTAAAAAATACATCGTTAACACATCATATCACAGGGACAGCAGCCTTACGAACGTCATCATATAACACCCGCATACCCCTCGTAAGTTATCATTCCGAAGAACTGAGATGTCCTGCTTTAATACCCTGTAATCTCACTGCCATATCTCACTTCATACATTTTTTATTATAATTTTTTATTAATTTTATTCGTCAATCAAATTGGAAAGACCTTTCGTCTAATAGTGGCCTGCCCATACTACATACTAAACGTATGCGTCCACATAGTTCTAAGTTCACATCGCTAACTATAAGAGCATATGCACACTTTACTACGAGCCCCGAACCATACTATCTGATTTTAATGATAATATGTTAAACTATAATCTTATATATAAAATTCTCGTGTCACAGTTTTCGTTCCCATACTCCTCCGAAACGGCTTGACCGATTCTCATGAAGTTTTGTGAGCGTATTGAGTACGTCTGAGAATCGGCCATCTATTTTTCATCCCCCTAAATGTTAGGGGTAGTCTACCCCTAAATTTTTTTTTATGATACAACATACACAAATATATACAATCCTAAATTTTCACCCTTCTACCATCAACCCCTTTTTTTTTAGCTTTATTAATTTATATGGCAAAACAACGTTTGCCGGGACAGCTAGTATATAATATATTAGTACTTATGTCGACAGTATATATACTCTTGCATACATTACTAGTATGTAATACTATATGTGGGCATACAATTATCCATTGTCGCTCGTCATATGAAACTTATACTAACCTTATAACCTTCCTAGCGATAAAGAACACGTCGTCGACGAGACTTGATGTAGTTGCACCCGGCTGTGGTGTTGCCATCTTCAACGCTTTACTCATACTCTCCTCAAGGAAATACCTACATATGTACACAATTTACGAGTAAGCAGAAATGATTAATATTTTTAATACCAATTAATAAATGAAATCCCTTACATTAAACATAGAGTATCAAGTTAATGATCTTTTAATGTATAAATTTAAATGTCCAGACAGTTGGTGACCAGATGGGACGGGTCATTAGGGTCCCTAAATTATGGTTGAGTTGCAAGACACTATAGAAAAACAGAATGAAGTCCTAGAAGATATTGCTCAGCAGAGATAAGTTCACCATTATCCAAATCTAATTCTTCCTATAGTAGTATGTTTCATATTAAGTTTTATTACTGTACAATAATTTAACAGGCAAACCTTTCCAGCTCGAGGTAGTGCGCGAGCATGTCCTGCGTGACACGCGTCAGGTCGCACTCCGCTATGATCTTCTCCGTGGCAGCCACGCACGCCTCTCTGCCTGCTTCGTCCAGACTCGACGCGTCTGCCTAAAAAAAATATAATATGTTCATTGTTCCGTAAAAAAGCGAAAATGTAATTTGAGACAATCTAAAAGCGACCTTAGACATAAGCAATATAGTACATATTCGAATAAGGCTATGTATGGTGGGTACCTCTGTCTTCCGGCGCAGGAAGTCGAAGTAGAGCCGCAGCCGGGACAGAGAGAGCGCCAGCTCGGCCAGCACGGGCTCCGCGGCCAGCGCCCCGCCCGCCGCGCCCCCCGACAGCCGCGCCGCACGCAGCGCCACCAGCACGCGGCGAGCGCCCGCACACACCTGCACCGCACGCACCATCACTCTAACATGGTTTTATTAATGTAACATTCCAACACTACTGGTAGTTGGAAATGTTCAGTTCTAGTATAATATTCAAACTTTGTACAGGCTTATAAAATGCTAATTATATTTGCTGGATCCTAATTAATATGTGCGAACACGTCTGCTGCCGCGCGCGCTTCACGGCCGCGCCGCCCGCCTCCGGCACGTCCCCGTCCGCTGCGAGGAGGTCACTGACCGCGGGCTGCAGCGCGCGCTCCACGGCCGCGCCGCCCGCCTCCGGCACGTCCCCGTCCGCTGCGAGGAGGTCACTGACCGCGGGCTGCAGCGTGCGCAGGGCGCGCGCAGGGCGCGCGGCAGGCCGGCGGCGGCGGCGGCGCCGGTCTGCTGCCGCGCGCGCTCCACGGCCGCGCCGCCCGCCTCCGGCACGTCCCCGTCCGCTGCGAGGAGGTCACTGACCGCGGGCTGCAGCGTGCGCAGGGCGCGCGGCAGCAGGCCGGCGGCGGCGGCGGCGCCGGTCTGCTGCCGCGCGCGCTCCAGGCCGGCGGCGGCGGCGGCGCCGGTCTGCTGCCGCGCGGCCGCGCCGCCCGCCTCCGGCACGTCCCCGTCCGCTGCGAGGAGGTCACTGACCGCGGGCTGCAGCGTGCGCAGGGCGCGCGGCAGCAGGCCGGCGGCGGCGGCGGCGCCGGTCTGCTGCCGCGCGCGCTCCACGGCCGCGCCGCCCGCCTCCGGCACGTCCCCGTCCGCTGCGAGGAGGTCACTGACCGCGGGCTGCAGCGTGCGCAGGGCGCGCGGCAGCAGGCCGGCGGCGGCGGCGGCGCCGGTCTGCTGCCGCGCGCGCTCCACGGCGCGCTCGGGCTGCGCCGGCGGCGCCGCGCGCGCCCGCCTCGGCGGCGCCGTGCCGCGCCACGGCCGCGCCGCCCGCCTCCGGCACGTCCGCTGCGAGGAGGTCACAGCAGGCCGGCGGCGGCGGCGGCGCCGGTCTGCTGCCGCGCGCGACCGCGGGCTGCAGCGTGCGCAGGGCGCGCGGCAGCAGGCCGGCGGCGGCGGCGGCGCCGGTCTGCTGCCGCGCGCGCTCCACGGCCGCGCCGCCCGCCTCCAGTACGCGCGTCATGGCGTCCGCGTACACCGCCGCCTCCGCACTCCCTCCGCCGCTCACCACGCTCGCACGACGGATCGCACCCTCCGCCTGCCGAACCGCACTTCTTAATTAACATTTTTTGTTATAGCTATATATATTCGTATAGAATAAATACAGTTCGTGTACGAGAGTCTACTTTAATGTTAGATATAGACATATATATAAGTTAACGATACGAGTAAGTAGAAATAATTAAATTTAAAATCTTAATCATTCGTCCTCAATCGTTATTTTACTTTATTAACTTTTATCGATGAGAATGAGGGTACGCCCGACGACGACGATGATTATGATGTTGGTGATGCTAATAATGATGATGATGATCTGGATTATGATGATAATGACTGATGGGTGAGGACGATCATTTCATCACTTTGTCACATATTATCGAGTCCCTGCTTCCCTTACATGACGTAGTTTATTGGCTAATTCATTCATAACATAAACTATTTATTATTATATAACTCACTTGTGTAAGGAGATACTTGGCGAGCAAATCGACGCCTTCCTCAGCGCGACCGATCTGTGGGAACAGCTTGAATAGACGCTCAACCGCTGCTTCGTCTTCCTTTTTAGCTGCTTCCTCAAACCTTACAAAGTAAAAAATTATTGCCACTTTAGGTTGCAAAGTGGTGGCGGAAATAATCGGATCCCTACACCACTTTTCACATGTTTTCATTATTATCAAATCATAAGACAAACAATAATATACCATTGCGATTATTGTTTCTAAAGGAGTAATGAGACGATCAATTGTGGTCACCATAAAGACATAATGACAATTTATACAGTGCCACTTAGTCCTGAAGTAAGCAGAGCTTGTGTTATGAGTACTGGACATCTGACACAAACATTATTTTTTAAATCATCATCATCGCAGCCCGGAAGACGTCCACTGCTGGACATAGGCCTCCCCCAAAGATCTCCAGGATGATCGGTCCTGCGCTGCTCGCATCCAATGCCTTCCAGCGATCTTGACCAGATCGTCGGTCACCTTGCTGGAGGCCTTCCCACGCTGCGTCTTCCGGTCCGTGGTCGCCACTCGAGGACTTTACTGCCCCATCTGTCCTACGAGCTATGTGTCCTGCCTATTGCCACTTCAGAGTCGCAATTCTGTGGGCTATGTTGGTCACTTTGGTTCTTCTGCGGATCTCCTCATTTCTGATTCGATCACGCAGAGTAACTTCGAGCATAGCCCTCTCCATTGCCCTCTGAGTAACTTTGAGCTTATTGATGGGGCCCATAGTTAGCGACCACGTCTAGACGTGGTCGCTATTTTTTAAATACATACATAATATACATAGAAAACACCCAGACCGATACAAACAATCATGAATACAAATGTTTGTGCCGTGCGAGGAATCGCAATCATCGGAAGTAAAGCAGTGTGCTAAACCGGTAGACCATCGAGGTCGTGTATGTTTGTAAATAGACTTAATGGCCTCGATTGACGACCCTCATATCGGATCGATGACCCTCGGATCGTTTCCATCGTCAGTGCTTTACCGACGGTGTGGGGTTCGAGGGATTGAGCCGCTAGACGAGCGGGTCCATGAAAGTGGTAAGTAGGGAGCGGTGCGGGTGGTTACTTGCGCACGAGGTGGCGGTGCAGCGTGGCGGCGGCGCGGGCCATGGCGGCGCGCGGGTCGGGGGCGCCGCGGGCCGCCGCCGCCTGCAGCGAGCCGGGCGCCATGCTGCGGTACCGCGCCACGTGCGCCGCGCCTGCGGACCACGCGCACCACGCACACCACGCGGGGCTCTACATACACTGACGACTCTTTCACCCGCGAAAATAACACACACATCTATAACCGCTGCCTTCATATGTTACAATTCATATCAATATTGTAGAAAAAACCCGATATTTTAAAAAGATATTAAAAAAGGTAGTTTGTGTTTAGTACAGTGTAAATATTATTACAAATATTGTAAATAGCGCCATCTAGTATTTTTAGACCGAACTAAGTTGTTTATCATAAGATAACCATTACCCCCGCTTCAATCAATACTATACCGACTTCGGTCTATAAATACGGAGGACGGTAGATGAATAATCCTCTTTGGTTGGGTGAACCGCGGCATTCAGTCGACGAGTGCAGAGCGTACCGGTTCAGTTTTGGATACTGCGTCACGGGCACTGCTTGCGGTTTCCCTACCGGTAGCCGGCTTCAAAGCCTAAGTTGTCATCCTTATTAGTGATTTGGCTTCTACGCACAAAATAATGAGGCAATTCACGCGCGCAATCGTGTGTGAATATTAATTTATTATTATAAAATGGCGCTAAAGCAATCACGACTGAAGAACACGGAAATAACGCGTGATACATGATACGCGTCAGTTGTTTTTAGGTCTATGACCTACATTGTTGGTTTTTACAAAAAAGAGTAGGTATTTCCATCTCTCTTCTTCACGCTTACCCGTCTCATAATCATGTGCTTTTATGGCTGCTTCTACTCCAGCGCTGCAGATCTGCAAGTCTATGAGGTCGTGGACGCGTCGCTGACACTCCGCCACACGTGACTGAAGCACAATTTTTGATAATATTGATTGAGGTCTGTAACCTAGATTGTTGGGATGTAGGAGTAACCACTAGATGGTTAGTAGATATGATAGAGGCACACACAATATAATAGCACAATTTTTTTTTACATATAGCAAGTGACAGCACATCTGATGGTATTTTTTTTATATAAATAATGGAATGCTGCACCCTCATGCACTAACGGTATATGCTGGCAGGGCACCAGTGGAGGATGATAATATGAGCATGAAGTTAAGTCAGTTAGTCCATTAGTCCATCTAAATTCTCCAAGAATTTGTCATGGTTTCCAAGGGGGGACCGCATGGAGGTCAATCTGACATGGTACATTGCCAGCCTGATGGTAAGTTATCACTACCGCCTATGACCACCCAAAACAATAAGAGAATTGCAGGAGAGTTACCTGCCTTTTAAGGAGTGGTGGATAGAAGAAAAGATAGGAGGGTGTTATTAACTTAATTATTATTTCTGATTTAATTCACATTTAGTATCTAGTCATGGGTATTCTTTAATTTGTTAAAATACAAGTAGTTAAACTTACAAGTAGTTAAAATGGATTTGCGAAGGATAGAAACACATAAGAAATGATGGAAGAGGCCTTTCTGTCTAAAGGACAAGTTGAATCAGAGACTGGTGTGCAGAATAATTAATAACATTTGAATTTAAAAATATAAAAATAATTTCATTCCTGTATGAATAAATTGTGACTTAAATTCTAGCTATATAGTAAGTGAACTAACTGATAGCCAGTAAGATATACTTTTACATTTATAACTAATAAAAATAAAAACTGGACGATTACACAACATCATCTTGTCCCACACTAAGCTGAGCTTCTGTTATGAGTTCTACAACTGAAAGAAATACTATTAATATATTTATGAATAAATTGTGACTTATATTCTAGTTATATAGTAACAAGATTATAAAAATAAAATTCAATAATAATACTACATAATCTTACAATAATTGCAAAACCCTGTTAGATCCTTACTTTTAAACACAAGCAGTTCAATAATTTCCACAGTACTTACTCTAGCTAAATCCAGCTGGCGTACTTTAGCACTGACATCTTTAGCTAGTTCTGCCGTTTTCTCTACCATGTCGACAGCAGTTTGTGCGTCTGTTTTAACTTCTCCCAGCTTGGTGTAGGCCTGGCTGGCACTGCGTAGTCGTGCCTCTAAGGAGCATGTGCGAGATAATACACCAGCTAAGGCTTCATCTACTTCCACCTGGTAAATAATGGTATAATAATATGACTAGCGAATACAAATGACAACCTATGTGGTTTAGTACCACCAGTCAAAGTACAAAACCTAAATTATTAAAAAACTTCTATAGTTAAAAAATCTACAGATTATATTAAATAGAGTATACGTTCAGTTGTTTTCGAAATAATGCCAATATTTTTTATAATATACCTAAAATCTCGATTTTAGGTTACCATAGATGTTTTTTCTCTTACAACATTCTAGTTTAGATTTTAATTAAAAATAAAACAATTGTTTATTATTAGATTATAATATACGTGGATAGTGGAGTCATAAATAAATATTAGTACTTCTGTATGTATTAACGATTTCATAGTCGTCATCTAAATATTTTTTATTTACCTCTTCTTTTTGAATTTCAAGTAAAGCTTTTTGCAGACCATCCTCTGTAGACACGTCATACTTTTCTAACAATAAAGCTAAAGACATATTTGATATTTTATTTGCAAAACTGTTATTATGTTTAATTATTCACAGCTTCTATATAAATAAATATAAATTGTTGTTTAGATTTTTTTAGAATATAAATTGTGATGTTGACAACATTGACAGCTGAAATGACGGAAATATGTGTACTTAAACTGACATCAACAAATTAATGACACGTCTGAGAAAGTATGAATACTTTTTGACAGTTCGTAAATTTTGAGTGGTTCAGAAGTAGTAATTGGACGAGAGAAAATATTTTTTTATCCCTTTCTTAAAGCTTATATTTAATCATCAATTTTAGAAAATTCAAATAAGTATGTAAAATATAATATAAATTCTCTACTTAACAAAAAAAGTGGCTTTATTTGTACTATATACATAAAATAATGTAGTATAAATAATAAGACAGCTGTGACGATTCAACAGTTTCGAACGACACTAAAAATAATAATGGTGGTCAAATACTCGACTCCCTGCAATGAAATGAAACAGTAAACACAACAAATTGCAATTGGAAAATCAATGTATCGTTAATTGTGATAGAGTCTTTTGGGTGCATATTCATAGTTGCTCTCCTCTGAGCACGGATTTTGTTTGGCAGTGGAACAAAAATCGTCAAAGGTATGAATGATGTTAAATTTGACATTTACTTAACACGACTGGTTGCAAAACCTGATTTTATTGTAATATCTTGATGTCTGCTTGAACTTGTAAACAGTTAATTTGTTTCTATGCAGATTGACTCCGTGTGGGGTTGGGCTTCGCCCCCTCTGCGATTGCAGTTGGGGAACGCGCGCGGACCCAAAAGGTGAGAAAACTATATGCACAAATAAATGTGCTCCTATGTACATTCTAATTAATTGGCCAATGATATAGTGCAGTTAGTACCATATTATTACTGTAGCATAATTTTTAAATTGGTTTTAATTTACTGTTTGTTTATGTTTTATTTTTTTAATTTAATATCTCTATTTAGATGACTAAGGGAAAATATAAATAGGGATTGGGAAATTATTAAACAAACAGCTATCTTATACCTGTCACTTTATCTATCATTTATTTAGTTATTTTCATGATCTGTTATATTCACATTGTATATTATAAAAATCTGTTTAGCAATAGTTATTATTAAACTTTAGTGATTAATAAACATTATTAAATTATTAATCGGATCTTAACATAAATAATTTTATGGCAAATAAAGGTATTTACTGTCTCAACATTTAAATTTGGTTTTACTAGCCATGGCCACAAGGTGACCATTCGAGATAAGTGAACTAACTGATAGACCGTAAGATATACTTTTACATTTATAACCAATAAAAATAAAAACTCTGGACAAACAAAAACACGACATCATCTAATCCCACACTAAGCCGAGCTTCTGTTATGAGTTCTACAACTGAAAGAAATATTATTAATTATTCTTGTAAATACATACATAATAATTGAAGCTGGGAGAAGTTAAATAAACTAATCATACTCATGAATACAAATGTTTGAATAATCTGAACTTATTGTATATTAAAAACGTATTTAAAAAATAATATACATAATCTATATATCTAGCGGTAGATTAAAAAATGTAATGACTATTCAAAAGTGCTTCAATGTAAGTTTATTTGAATAAATGGTTTTCTATTCTATTCTATATATATAATTCAATGTTATGATGTAGGCATCCGCTAAGAAATGATTTTGATTAATTCTACCCGAGATCACATTGAAAAATCTTATTTATGTGAGAAATAAGATTTTTCAATGTGATCTCCAACATGTTAAGAAATAATGTGTTTTAAACCACTAAGCTACTGAGGCTGTTTTTCATTAAATATCACTTTTTAAAAATATTAAAGGGCATTATTTACAGTGTAGTAGTCCGAATGCTTATTTAATTACATTGAAATGGATATTTAAATGAAGGGCAAATGGCAGTGGCCATGATTGTAATCAGACTTAATGTGATTTTATTAATTTATATACTTATGGTGTTGTTAATATTTTTTTCTTTAACAATACACTATAACGTTGTCTGTAAATTAACAATTCAATTTTAGGGTTTTATCAATGCAAATTTAAAATATATTATAAAGTAGCAGTACTCACAGTTTCTCCCACAATAAATTTCATAAAATATAGCCTAGTGTTATTCTGATGCATAAGCTATATTACTGTAAAGTTTCATCAACATACATTCAGTAGTTTTGCATAAAAGAGTAACAAACATCTATACCTATAAACTTTCACATTTATAATATTAATAAGATACTGACTATACTAATAAACTAGTGTATGTATCTATTACATATCTAACAATAATCACACAGTACTATCTAGTCCTAAGTTAAGCACTTTGTATTATAAAGATCAGTGTTTTAGTCCACTACTTTACTTCAAATGATAGGTTCTATTCTATTCATTGCACAACAAACATGAGTATGATTGTTTTTTATTGGTATGCATGTTTTATGTTTTTAACCAACAAGTGTATCTGAGTGCAATCTGAGTATCAGTTGTCTAGTACCCATAACACAAGCTCTGCTTAGCTAGAAACTAGATGGCGCTGTTTGTATTATAAAAATACATTCTTGCTGGTTACTATATCAACATTTTTCATAGTATACACACTTTTGTGTTCAATTTAGTGCTTTAAAATTACCAACTGGTTGCTTTAACTGAACACAATGTAATCATTATTGTTACAGCAATTATTGTTAATACATAATGTGTTGTTAATAATCTATCATTAACTAATTCTCCCTTCTACTGATCACCACATATAACTCAGTAAACAGTATTGTTTTGAGATCTCATATGTTATGTAGTTTATAATGTAATTTGAGTGAATAGATATATGTCAGTGCTCAAGAAAATATGAAGTCCCCTATAGTTTGTTTGGATACTGTCATTATGCAGAAGTTACACTATTTTCGTAATTTATTCTGTGGTAGGTAAGACAATTCACTACTTTATCTATACATCTATACATATAAATAAAATTGGAGTGTCTGTTTGTAAATGTCTATTTTTTAGTACATGCATATGAATATAAATACGGTACATACACCAAAATATTTTTTTTACAATTTTTGTCTGTCTGTTTGTTCCGGCTAATCTCTGAAATGGCTGGACCGATTTTGACGGGACTTATTTTGGCAGGCAGCTTATGTAATAAGGAGTAACTTATGCTACTTTTATTTTAGAAAACTAAAGTTAAATTCCATGCAGACAAAGTCGTGGTAACAGCTGGTTATAATAATAATTTGATTGTTATAAGATGGTGAATGGTAGTTATTTAAAACATTTGTCTCAAAAAAATATCTGTATATGTTATGGTAATAACTGCAATAATCTTAATCTTATTAATATTATTATAAACGCAAATGTTTGTGAGTATGGATGGATGTTTGTTACTCTTACACGCAAAAACTATGAAACATATTTGGATGAAACTTTACAGTAATATAGCTTATGCATCAGATTAACATATAGGTTACATTTTTTAATCAAATTTAATGCAGGTGAAACCTGGGTATCCGGTATGGTATGGTACCTGAACTCGAGTATAGCTTTGTTATATATATTTCTTTTCTAAGTAATTATTATTTTATTTCTTTAAAAATATAAAGGGAAACCCTGGCCATACTATATGTATGTTGACACAATTTACAAAACATACAATAAGTAAAGCAGGATTATAGGTTCTAATTGTATTTTATTTATTCATATATGCAATCACATTATATATGTTACTGATCTAAAATATAATATTTAGGGTGAGTATATATTACTTTGTTAGGCTGTAACAAGTCTTTTTTTTCTTTAACATATGTCCTATGTCGGTATAAGTGTACCCTCTACCTATCAGTCTACCCTCATTCACCATCAGTCATTAAATTAACTGTTATACAAGTTTTTGGTAGGAAATTAGTTGCTGGCTCGTGAACAAAAACTCGTGTTACAAAGTGCAGCTCGGCAAAATGTAATGGCGTGTGTATGTTTTCAGGATGGGGGAGGGCGGGTCCCCCGGCGGGGTGGGCGGCGGCGGGGGCGGGGGCGGCGGCGGCGGCGGCGGGGGCGGGGCGCGGCTGTCACACACGTCGGAGAAGCACCCGCGCGCCATCCTCGGCGAGCTGTCCGCGCTGCGCCGCCACAGGGAACTCTGCGACGTCGTCCTCAACGTCGCCAACAGGAAACTCTTCGCGCACAGGTTTCAACTTACATTCTTTTGCTGGTCGATAAACAATTTAGAACATTGTCAATGTTCGATTCGGCATAATGCTGGCAACATGGATTCGAGCGCTGATTTTTAGTAGGGACGCAAAGAAACTATATACAAATAGCAAAGGATCAACATAAGCATAAGCATCACAAATTCAAAATCAAAAAGTAATGATCAGGATAAGGATAACGACGGCCTTATTTTTTTAATGTATTATGATTGAATGGCGTATGATCAGTATTCCACGCCGACGAAGTCACTGGCAACTGGTAGATTATTACTAGAAAAAAACGAGGGACTAATGATCCTCCCCGCAGGGTGATATTGTCAGCGTGCAGCCCGTACTTCCGCGCGATGTTCACGGGCGAGCTGGCCGAGTCGCGCGCCACCGAGGTCACCATCCGGGACGTGGACGAGCAGGCCATGGAGCAGCTGGTCGAGTTTTGTTACACGGCGCACATCGTCGTCGAGGAGAGCAACGTGCAGGTCAGTGTCTAGTGATGACGGGATCGGTGGTTACAGTGCACTCACACACTGGAACTGGCTGTCATGCTGATAAAGTCACGGCGCTACATATGCTGGAAGAGTGTCCGGCATTTTGCAGATAAGTGCCATATAATCCTTTTTAACGTGCTAATATATGTGTCGTATTTTACACAAGTGAATTATCATTTAGATCACCGCAAGTCTAACAAATTTAAGTACAATTATGATTCACAGTACTGCGTACGTCATTTAATGTAATAATTATACGCCATCTAAACTAATAATTTGTGTGTGTGTTCCAGGCGCTACTGCCGGCGGCGTGCCTACTGCAGCTGCAGGAGATACAGGACGTGTGCTGCGAGTTCCTCAAGCGGCAGCTCGACTGCTCCAACTGCCTGGGCATCCGGGCCTTCGCAGACACACATTCCTGCAGGGAACTCCTGCGGATCGCTGATAAGTTTACACAACAGAATTTTCCTGAGGTGAGTCCCCTTTATTAAGTTATGCTATATCACGCTAAACCCAGTAGGGGCGGAGTTGTAAAAATAATATTGTAAAGACATGGAAGATGGAATAGATTTATATTATTTTGTTTATTTCCGCTACCATTAGCCTGTGTGAGACCACAAATATTCAGTGCGGAAAACTAATCACCGTTACTGGAAGCCTTAAGACTTCACCACTAGTGATCAAACTCCAACCGTTATTGGATCTACTCTCATATTGCGTGTTTCTCCTCTAAACTAAGGACTATCAGGTAATGAATAGAGTTGGATGCCTAGTGTAGACTGTTCGGCGACTAGACTACGACTTGAGCAATATGTGACGTTACTGAAGATTCTCGGTTCAGCTAGTATACCATGAAAACAATGTTGGAATATTAAAATAATAAATTGTTCCTCATGACATTTAGATTTATATACAAATTGACATATACCTACATACAATTATATAAACAATCGATAATTTAATTAACTTAAAATTTGTACGCTTGATATAAGCAGATTTTGTAAGGGCCATGTTTTTGTATAACATCATATATGTATGTACCCAAAATCTATTGCAAATGAATTTATTATTATATTATTATTATTGTTAATGTTTAAGCAAGTATATACATATCATAAGGAATTCACTTCCAGGATTTCTCATTTGCGAACAGCCTGACAGGTCTGTGGCTACTCCAGCTTGTCAACCTAGCATACTGTATCATTTAGTTATTGAAGGGTGATGTATATATCTACAGGTGATGGAAAGTGAGGAGTTCCTATTGCTACCGGCGGCGCAGCTGATCGACATCGTGTCTTCAGACGAGCTGAACGTTCGCTCCGAGGAGCAGACCTTCCAGGCCGTCATGTCCTGGGTCAAGTATAATGTCGCTGAACGGCGGCAGCATCTCGCACAGGTATAACTCTATACTCACAACAGATTTACATGGTACAAGACGTGACAATGAATCTGTATTTTTGTAATCATGTGCAAGTTCATTTGAAAAGAATAACAGCTGAGTTTCTTGTCAGGTCTTCGTAGGTTAACAGCCCTCTGGTGACAGATTCTTATGATATGTCAAATCTACCGTATTTGATATATCATAAGAGTCTGTAGTAGACTCAGATGATTAATAGTAGGACCACATTGTATTTTATATGCTATGTTACCAAACCGCTGTTGTAATATTGGATGCACTGTTGTATTCGGCATATGCCTGTAAGGATAGTGTATGAATAAATAAATAAATAAATTTTTGCTGATGCAGTGTGTAAGTGCCTAAAGGATGTCCAAAACTATTGAACAAGTTTTTGTAAATCCTAATATCTTAATATTTTTATGTTATAATTGAGCCGTACATGTGTTTGTCATCTTATTCCTACTGATTTAAGTTATGCATACGTCACTAAAACTATGGTAATGTGACTATACTTCAGGAGTTATATTTTTTTTTCCTATCTGCGATCAGCCCTTCCGGCTATAATCAGATTTTTTGAAGTTATTGGCTTTTTGAGATGAGGCACCTCCAGTAAGGTGCCATCTCATTTACTTTCTTTAGATGTTGGCAAGGCGAGCCTTTTTTAATCTAAATGGACAGTTATTTATATCCAGTAGTTTTGAAGCTAACTGGTTCTTATGACTGGCTAATCTGTGTTTATATCTTGCACAGGCTTTCTGTATCTCTTCTTTTACAGTTGGAATTTCTAGATATGAATGTACTTCAATGTTTTTTTATGAACCAAGGAGCTCTGGCTATGGTTTTTAATGCCTTGTTTTGGAAGCGCTGAAGAATTGATATGTTAGAGTGTGAAGCTGACCCCCATAGTTCAGGAGTTATATGAAACTGTTTATAAGAAATAGAAACAAAAATAAAAAAATCAAAGTGTGGTAAAATTGACGTCACTTCCAGGTGTTGCAACACGTACGCCTGCCTTTACTAAGTCCGAAGTTCCTGGTGGGCACGGTCTCGTCAGAGCTACTCATCAGGTCTGACGACGCGTGCCGCGATCTGCTAGACGAGGCCAAGAACTATTTGCTGCTGCCTCAGGAGCGGCCACTTATGCAGGGTCCAAGGACCAGGCCCAGGAAACCCACAAGACGAGGTCAGATCTACTACATTACGTTGTTTGATGGAATCATGATGGTTTCTTGTTTGGTTTTTGGTTTATCTCTAGGATATAATAATCTACGAAGATCGCTAATTAAGGATGCTTTACATTTCATTCATAGTATTTGTTATTGATTATCTATTCCATAATTATGATTTGTATTAAGTGCGTGAATTATTTTTTTTCATACATCCTTACTTTTTAAAACTCTATTATCTTATATCATTATAATCTATGGTTGTCTGACAGACAAATGGAGTTTTAAAAATCGTATTCATTCATTTTTGTCTCATTTTTCGAACGATATTTTTGAAATCGATAACAAATAGTGCTAGTATTTATATCTACAGAGGGTTCTCGTGATATTATTTAATAAATAATGTGCGAGGTGTGATCGGAGCGGCGCGCAGTAACGGCGTGTGTCCGGCAGGCGAGGTGTTGTTCGCGGTGGGCGGGTGGTGCTCGGGCGACGCGATCGCCTCCGTGGAGCGGTTCGACCCGCAGACGGCCGAGTGGAAGATGGTCGCGCCCATGACCAAGCGGCGCTGCGGCGTCGGCGTCGCAGTCCTACACGACCTCCTCTACGCGGTCGGAGGACACGACGGACAGAGCTACCTCAACAGCATCGAGCGATACGACCCGCAGACCAACCAGGTCAACTAGTTACTAGTAGGACGGACCCATCACGACCCGGTACTTGGGCTCCTGATAGTAGACGGTATTTCATAGGAGGGAGACGTCCTACCTTTTATCTTGTGATTTCAATGGCCAATTTACAGAACCGAAACACAGCAAACAAAATTGCTCGGTAGTGGATATAAGTGAGAACTTTTTAGTTTAGTATGATCATTTCAGGCACCATCTCTGAGGTGCATGCTAAGTGAGACGAGACAATATACATTCGATCGATTGTCAGATTTTCCGAATGTATATCGGTGGTCTAAGACAGTCGCGACATGGAAGATGGTGGTCGGCCATAATGCTGACGATATACACTCGGTCAATAGTGAGGTCGTCCGAGTACGACCTGACGGTTAACCGGGTGTACATCGACGGCCTAATGAGGTGTATGCGTGGTGCGGCAGTGGTGCGGCGCGGTGGCGCCGACGTCGTCGTGCCGCACGTCGGTGGGCGTGGCCGTGCTGGACGGCGCGCTGTACGCGGTGGGCGGGCAGGACGGCGTGCAGTGCCTCAACCACGTCGAGCGGTACGACCCCAAGGAGAACCGCTGGACCAAGGTACCGCCCACACTACACCCACCCACGACACCAGCTCGCTAATGTACTATATCCAACGAATCTTGAAGTAATAGGCGAAAAAGTAATGGATTTCTAATCTGTATTATATATACATAGAAAGTACATATTGTGACGATTATAATATCGCGTCTGAAAGTGACGTGTCTAGTTGGAGTTTTTAATGGTAGTATTAATTCAATTTCGACCGTAATTAATTTAAGTTCTAATTAATTATATTGATAACGAATATGTACGTATTTCTATGTGTGTGCATGTCAAATACTTAATAGTGTGTAATGTTTATTTATTGACTTAATTCATTCTAATATTATCATTCTTCACTTCTTTTCTACTGAACGGAATGGTGCTCCCGCATATGCTGCTTAAACACTGAGAAATGAATATTGCAGAATATAAATTTAAGTAAGTTAGTTCATACATAGCAGATTCATTAGGTATTATCACAACGGTTATAAGGTTATAATCTGTGGAAGTCGACTCGACAAAATAGTAACGATCCGTCAGGAGAATAGTGGGTAGCGTAGTAGTGTAAAGACACGAGCGCGTGGCGTCGGTCCCGGCAGGTGGCGGCGATGACGACGCGGCGGCTGGGCGTGGCGGTGGCGGTGCTGGGCGGGCAGCTGTACGCGGTGGGCGGCTCCGACGGACAGGCGCCGCTCAGCTCCGTGGAGCGCTACGAGCCGCGCACCAACAAGTGGGCGCCCGTCGCGCCCATGTCCACGCGCCGCAAGCACCTCGGCTGCGCGGTCTACGACGGACACATCTACGCGGTGGGCGGCCGCGACGACTGCACCGAGCTCTCCTCGGCGGAGAGGTGACGCACACACGGGGACACACGCACACACACACACACACACACACACACACACACACACACACACACACACACACACACACACACACACACACACACACCTCGGTCTACGACGGACACAACTACGCGGTGGGCGGCCGCGACGACTGCACCGAACACACGCGCACACACCCGCACACACGCGCGCACACGCACACGCACGCGCACACACGCACACGCACACGCACACACAGGATTTCCCCTTCTCTTCTCTCTCCCTTTTTTTCTCCCCTCTTCCCCCCCTAGCAGCTAAAATGATTGATTAAGAGAATCCAACACCACAAAACGTTACAAAATTTCATATTCTCACAGAAATGAAATATTAATTCAATAAATAATTCTTGATATATAGTAACGGATTGGTATGATGTGCATAGGTACGAGCCGAGCACGGACTCGTGGTCCCCGGTGGTGGCGATGACGTCACGCCGCAGCGGCGTAGGACTCGCCGTCGTCAACGGACAGCTGTACGCCGTCGGAGGCTTCGACGGGACCGCCTACCTCAAGTCCATAGAGGTAACCGCTCCATGCTGCACACCTCAGTGCCACTTCTATATGTTCGACGGGACCGCCTACCTCAAGTCCATAGAGGTAACCGCTCCATGCTGCACACCTCGGTGCCACTTCTGTACTGTTCGACGGGACCGCCTACCTCAAGTCCATAGAGGTAACCGCTCCATGCTGCACACCTCAGTGCCACTTCTGTACTGTTCGACGGGACCGCCTACCTCAAGTCCATAGAGGTAACCGCTCCATGCTGCACACCTCAGTGCCACTTCTATACTGTTCGACGGGACCGCCTACCTCAAGTCCATAGAGGTAACCGCTCCATGCTGCACACCTCAGTGCCACTTCTATACTGTTCGACGGGACCGCCTACCTCAAGTCCATAGAGGTAACCGCTCCATGCTGCACACCTCAGTGCCACTTCTATACTGTTCGACGGGACCGCCTACCTCAAGTCCATAGAGGTAACCGCTCCATGCTGCACACCTCAGTGCCACTTCTATACTGTTCGACGGGACCGCCTACCTCAAGTCCATAGAGGTAACCGCTCGAGGATTTTCTTGCCGGTTCTTCTCAACTGAGCACTAGTCGGACTAGACAATAGACTAGGTCATATTTTTTATCACTATCCCGATAAGAAATATGACCTCCACAAGAGACGAAAAGGACCTATATTAATTGATGATTTTAAATTTATTATCCAATATCTGCAGGTGTATGACCCGGAATCGAACCAGTGGCGGCTATGCGGCGCGATGAACTACCGGCGCTTGGGCGGCGGCGTCGGCGTCATGCGCGCGCCGCATCATGACAATCACTATATATGGTGAGATATGACTCCACACACTAGCTACCTATACCCATCTCTTTTACTCTCTTATCGGCTTTCACACACGAGAAAGAGAGAAATACACCACACACTAGCTACCTATACACATCTCTTTTACTCTCTTATTGACTTCGACACACGAGAAAGAGAGAAATACACCACACTAGTTACCTATACACATCTCTTTTACTCTCTTATCGGCTTTCACACACGAGAAGTAGAGAAATACACGACACACTAGCTACCTATACCCATCTCTTTTACTCTCTTATTGGCTTTCACACACGAGAAAGAGAGAAATACACCACACCTATACCCATCTCTTTTACTCTCTTATTGGCTTTCACACACGAGAAAGAGAGAAATACACCACACACTAGCTACCTATACCCATCTCTTTTACTCTCTTATCGGCTTTCTCACACTACAAAGATAAGTTTTTTTTCGGACCATCTACATCTCTTTTAGCTGGCCTTTACAGCTTCACCGGACGATAAGAGAGTGCAGATGGCACACACAAACCAAATGAAGGACTTACTCTCTTGGGACTGTTCACACACGGATAAGAGAGAGGATACCGCTAGTTCGAACCTCGGCTCATCTCGTAGTTTCGATCTCGTTTGAATTCACACACGAGGAGGGTCGATCGGAGTTACCTAGAAATCTTTTACTCTCTTATTGATGTCACAAACTAAACAAAATAATCACACATACTATTATTATAAACTGGTTTTAATAATGAACTGGTTTTACCTAAATGCAGTTTAACTAAAGTTAGTAAATGCCTAAGGTTATATAGCATATTACCAGAGTCTGTTCTTAATTTATTGTAAATAAACTGGCTTTAAAAAATTGAGTTTCTTGCCAGTTCTTCTCAATTGGATCTGTATACTGAACTGGGCGGTAGGGAAAAAATTATAAGGTAAAAGATTGAGCGGCTAAAATGTCCGACATAAATAAATGATTTTTGAATTTGAATTGACTAAAATGAGACTTTAATTTCTTATTAAACACTTTGTAAAAAGCTTCTTAAAAATGAAGAGTTTGTAAATGATAATAATGTTTTTGTAGAAAAAAACTTAAAATTCATAGCGCTGACTGACTATCTGATTACTCAAAGATTTGAGTGCGTAGCTGTTGATTATCGCATGCCTCTTACTTGTTACTGTGTATTTATTTAAAAGTGCTTGTATTGACTTTATAAAGGTTATTTCTGTTTCTATTTACTACTTTATTTTTTTGTTCCAGGAATCGAAAAGACTCAGTGGTATAAACCACACCCCCTGCCCCCCTCGCTGTAAAATATTCCCCCTCCACTCCTATTGGTTAAGTCGTTACTCATTTATTTTATTGTTAATAAAATATATTACTAATTAATTGACTATTTATAAATAAATGAAAATACAAATTTTAGAATATACACATGTAGTTTTATTTCTTCAATACAGAAAATTTTGTATTTTTGAACTAGTCACACCAACATATGTAACCTGCATAAGTATCTTCACGCCAGATCTGTTTCGAGGTAGACAGAGATGTCCAGTGCTAATCTCTCGAATATCACGTGCTTACAAATACTTTGATATTAAAAATAAAAGTTACGTTTTTACGTTTCAGTATCTTAACTAATAAACATGAAATTTAGCATATATATGTGTCCCTTGTCCTTGCCCCAAACGCTATGTACATAACACATATAGTGTTCGGGGCAAGATCAAGGGACAAGTTTATATTTGGATAATAAATATACCTAAAAGGGACCATCCATAATTTATACATTTTATTTAATGATTGATTTTTTTCTATTTATTGTATATTATTGCTTTCCCAACTTTGAACTTTAAACGTGTCGTCTTAAAGCAGCAATTATGACAGTACCAACAATTAAATTGAACGAATAAAGCCAGAATGTATATATCAGTGTGGGGTGGCCGGTGGAGGCGACGTGGCCTTGTCCACCCCTTGCGCGTCCCCCTCGTTCTCTCCCTCCCCTTCCCCGTCCCCTTCTCCCTCCCCCTCGGCGTCCCCGTCGGGCTCGCCCTCTCCGTCGGCGGCGTCCTCCCCCTCCGCCTCGCCCCCCGGCTCTGCCTCACCGGCTTCGCTGGCCGGCACTCCAGTCGAGTCGATCGTTTCTTCTTTTGTCTCGTTGCGCTTCTGAAAAATAACACTAGATGTTACACACCACTTTGTTTTCTATCCTATGTGGTTATAGACCACTTATGCATAAACGAAATATCGCCTTTGGAAAGTACACACTTTATCCTAAGGACATATAAACCATCATCAAAATTGTTCGGTATAATACCAGCTGCTGAGTTTCACCACCGTACCACCCGCCAGAAACTAAAATACCATCCTGATCATCTGGGTGAAAAGCGGTCCTCCACAGTGCGGGTTTCTAGAAAACTGATCGGGCTGAAATTTGGCATGCACGTAGATGTTATGACAAAGGTATCCGCTAAGAAAGGATTTCGATTAATTCTACGCCCAAGGGGATAAAATTGGGGTTGAAAGTTTGTATGAAACTTTGTCAATTTTAAACCGATCGGGCTGAGACTTTGCATGCATAAAGTTACTATGACGTAGGGATCTCCTAAGAAATGATTTTGGTAAATTCCATCCCTAAGGTGATAAATTAACGTTAGCGAAGCCAGGGGTAAAAGCTAGTGAAATAATATACACATACCTTCTTTTTCTTCTTGGCTTTCGGTTTCGGCTTGACCTCCGGCTCGTTGTACCCTGGTGGGAAGAACCTGAGGCATTCCTCCTCGCCCACGACGGTGTCGTCGCTCACGTGGAGCGGTCCCAGGGCCATCAGCTCGGCTGGCGGACCGGCCGACGGTATTTCACTGGGCTCGGCCAGTTCTGGCTCCGCTAGACCCATGGCTACCATTACCACCATGGTCTCGCAACTGGAAATTTAATTTTTAACCGATTTTAAACAGGAGGTTTCTTCTCTAAATTTTCACCACATAAGTATATGTATATAAATCGCTTGTTATTGTTAATTCTAAGTTGTGGTATGATCTCTTTTATTGGCCTGGGTGTTTTCTAAGTATATTATGTATGTCTTTACAAAAAATATGCATACCCATAAGTGTTTGTATCAGTTGTCTGGTACCCATAATACAAGTTCTGCTTACCTTGGGACTAGATAGCGCGGTGTGAATTGTCCAAAGATATTATATTTTTGTTTTTTTTTTGTTTTAATTCAAATTAATACTATTCACTAAACGCATATGACAGTATAGGATATGTATATGATGTATATGACATAAAACATTTATTATTTTTGTCTGTCTGTTTCAGAGATTAGCAAAAACAGCTAATTTCTGTAATGGCTGGACCGGGTTTGGAGGGACTTCCACTCGCAGATACTTAGATTATTATCAGGAGTATCTTAGGGTACTTATTTTGAGATACTTTATTTATATCAATGAGAAAAGGTTGTGACACGAGAACTTTATATATAAGTTACTCACTAATCTTTGTCCACCTTCTCGTCATACTTCTCGACGGTTTTGCATAACAGCTTCGGCTCCTTAACATCGGCATCAGCAAAGAAACCACAGCGGAGAAGTCTGCAGCCTACGTGGGGTGCTCCGGCGGCAGCTAAAACAGCGCGCCGCTGCCATGCGCCGAACATCATCGCGATATGCGGGGGCTCCGCTAGCGATGGGGGCTCCATCACTGACCCTACCATCTGACAATTAATTCAGTTATTTCCTTTAATCAGCGTCATCAAGTTTCAAGTTAAGCAGAGCTTGTTTTATAGGTACTAGACAACTGATATATTTTTTTTTGTGTTGTTTGGGCTATTGTCAGATGTGTAGCACCTGTAGCACTGCGACCTACATAGATCTATTGTGCTCGCCCTTTTCAGAGTTCGCTACCTAGACCCGTCAGGGACAAGAATTGAAGGATATTCTTAGGAGCGATGGTTTTTATCTCTTCGGGAAAGAGTGTAAACTTTCCAAGGGAGATATTTCGTTTATGCATGAGTGGGCTACAACCACATAGGATGTGAAGCGGCGTTTCCTCTTCAGTTTGGCAGAATCTGCAGATACTTATCGTGCGTAGGCCTAGTTTAGCCATATGCTTGTTTAATTTGCAGTGTCCTGTGAGGGCCCTAGTCATCATGCATATGTTGTTTTTACTCAATAGCAGTAGTCTATTGGAGTATTTGCTCGAGAAGCCCGATATTAGGACTAATATAAATACTTAAATACACTTTTTTTGTTAAAATCATCGATGCATTTATTTTCTCCTGAAGGCTCGAACCGCTTGTGTTATATGTATATATATGAGTACATATATCTTGTAAATACAATAATAATATAGAAATAATCAAAATTATGAATACAAATGTTTGCGTCGTGCGAAGAATCGAACCCATTGAAATTAAAGCGCTGTGCCAAACCACGGAGGTCGTTAATATGGAATGAACCCACCTGCGCTAACGGTATACGCTGGCGGGGCATCACTAAAATATCCTAGAATGAGAATATATAGTCAGGTCGGTTAACCCATCTTAGTGAAGTCACCAGGAATTATACACAATGGCTTCCATGACGACCGCGTGGAGGTTAACCTGACATGGAAAATTGCTAGAAATGGGCCACTGATTCGTTCTCATTACTAAAAATAACCATTTTTTACTACATGCATATGAATATAAATACACCATACACCAAAATATTTTTTTTTACAATTTTTGTCTGTCTGTTTGTTCCGGCTAATCTCTGAAATGGCTGGACCGATTTTGATGGGCTTTTTCTTGGTAGATGTAATAAGAAGTAACTTAGACTACTTTTATTTTAGAAAAATAAAGTTACATTCCACGCGGACGAAGTCGCGGGTATAGCTAGTCACAAATAAAAAACAATGTTTATACCTTCGGGAAGAGTAGATCTAAAGCAGCCGCTCTCTGGTGCCTGTCCTTCGGTACGAACAGACCAGGAATGCCGTCTATATACAGTTCTTCAGCGGGATATTTCCTGACCGACTCGTCCTCGACTCCGTCCCCATACAAGGCACGTCGGGCTAATTCTGAAAAAAAAAACCGTCTATTAAAGGGGTTTTGACACGAATAATTTTATGGCAAATAAAGGTATGTACCTCTGGAATTTTCGAGTAGGCTGATAGCTCGTGGCCACGGCTAGTCGAAACGCCGAGTGAGGTAAATGCCTTCATTTACCCGTTAGTATAGGCGGGTGCAGCAATCTTCACATATTCTTCTTTCCTTAATTCTTCACAACTTTATCATCCATTAAAAAAAACAAACCAATACATACCGACAACACTGCCTTCCTTGTCCGGGGTTTTCTTCAGCAACAGCACCAGTGCTGGCCTCTCAGCTAGCAGAGCCACAACAGCTTCCTCACCAAACTCTGGGTCTTCAACAGCCAGCCTTTTAGCTCCGTCTTTACCCACAACAAGAGGACATTTGTCTGCTACTATCACTCCTAGAAATGCAAATATCACAGCTTATTTACAGTATATATATGAACGTGAGGACCTCAGAGTTTGTATGGTGTGAGCTAAATAATAATAATCTCAGGACAATTCACTCAGCGGTATCTAGATCCAAGTTAACCTAGCTAGCTTATGTTATGACCTTACAAAACAAAAGAGGAAACGCCACTACATATCCCATTTAGTTTTAGTCCATATTTGCATAAACAAAATATGCCCTTTGGAAAGTACATACTTTATTTAGAAGATAAAAACCATCGCTCCAAAGAATATCATTCAGTTCTTGTCCCTGAGTGGCTTAGGAAGTGAATTCTAAAAAAGGGTGAGCACAATAGATCTATCGCAGTGTCACAGGTGTAAAGCACCCAGTAATGTCCCTTACAAAATAAAATAAATATTATTTATAACTTGATTGAATTAGTGCTTCAAATAACAAAATTCATTTGGAGTTCAGTCAAGTACCAACGAACGAAAAGAAATGATCCAAACACGAACCTAACATTTGAAGTCATACATTGACTTCAACAAGTTCGTGTTTGGAATAATCACGTCCTCGTATAATTAAAGTTAATCTTTATAAAAGTTTTCATTTTAGGAATGAGGATAACGCAACCGAATATTATACAAATAACAAGTGGCCAATTATAATTATTTCCGTAACGTGATAATTAATATACTCATATTTTCCCCTCCGATCGATCTACCGTCCAATTCAAACGGGGTTTGAAATTACGACGATCTGAGCCGAGGTTCGAAACCCTAGAGGTGCCCTCAACTAAAGTCGTATCCGTCAGGCGGTAAATAGCCTTCAGCCGCTCTCTATCGTCCGGTGACTCTATAAAGATTTTCCTGACGCAAAAATACATACATGACATAGGCCTCCCCCAAAGATCTCCATGACGATCGGTCCTGCGCTGCTCGCATCCAGCAATAAACTAGTAATACTATAATTGTGCCTTAAAATTTTGTTGGCTAACTTCTGACTGACGGATACGACTTTAGTCTAACTGCACCACTAGAGGTTCCAAACTCGGATCAGATAGTAGTGATTTCGAAACCCGTTTGAATTGGATGGTGGATCGACTGGAGCGGTAAAAGCGGGTGATAACGGGTCCATGTAAGCAACGGCGGATCCAGGGTGGGCCCCCCCCTGAGCCCAGGACTTATATATTTTGTCACCATACATATTTTATTAATATTTTTAAGCACAGTACTTAGGTACATTAATAAAATAAGTACTTTTTATTTGTATCTATTGTTATCAAAATTAAATTATTAGTTCTTGACTTGACCACGACTATGTGACCCCCTCCTGGCGCCAAAACTGGATCCACCCTTGCATGTAAGAGAAGTCGAGGAATATTATTGTAAAACCTAAACAGAATATTATTACCATACGGTTCTAAAGCATCAGACACTTTTCTCAAATGTTTCTGAGCCTGCGGCGTCATCAGAGCGGGGCAGATGTCGTTGAAATAGCCCTCGAGGCGTTTCGCCCTCTCTTCACGGCGAGCTAACCTTGCCGACTCTATCGCTGCCACTTCCTTTTGCCTCCGCTCTTGATATACCTTGTCCTGAGCTGTAGCCACTTCCTGAAAGAAGAAATTAGTTTTTTTACTTAATGGATCTATATTATTGTACTGTAAACTTTAAATATTAATTTATATAAAAAGCTAATTTCCGCTTCACATTTCAATTGGCCCTTCCATCCATTTCATAATACAGACTATCAACCGAACAGAGTATGTTATAAACATGATAGATTATATCTTAGATTATATAATTATATCTTAGTCATAGATTATACCATAGACTATACAAGCATCATTTTGTTTAATTCTGCAACCATTAGCATTAGTGAGATCACCAGTATTCAGTGCGGAAACTTGGCCACCGCTAGAAGTACAATTACAGTAGGTATTATTAACGACCTTGGTGGTATAGCGGTCCAGCACACCGCTTTATGTCCAATGGTCGCGGGTTCGATTCCTCGCACGGCACAAACATTTGTATTCACGAGTATGATTGTTTGTATCGGTCTGGGTATTTTCTATGTATAATATGTATGTATTTACGAAAAAAAAATCTATGTATTTATATCAGTTATCTAGTACCCATAACACAAGCTTTAGCTAGCTTAACTTGGGACTAGATGGCGCTGTGTGAATTGTCCTGAGATTATTATTAATATCTAATTAATAAATACAAGCCTATTGTTTTAATGTTTTTGAGTTCGAGATGAGCTTAAGCATCTTTATTTGTACACAAGAAAGAATCGTAATAAAACAGATTTTTTGTTATGATAATATTATTGAAGATTTTCTGATATTTTTCAATTTATCCATTACAAATAAATCAGTTTTTTCGTCTTTACTTATTATAATTTTAAGATTACCTGTTCAGGCGGCGTGAGCTCGTGGGGAGCTCTCTGGGGCCGTTCCCTCTCGCCTTTCTTCACCAGCTCTTCATTGCGGAGTTCTTGTTCTATAGTCCGCGTGAGGCGTGGTGCATCAGCGCCGAACATAACATTCAGCAGCTGTCCGCCCTTTAATGAGATGAAGTATAGCAGTTACGATGTGACATAATAGTTCAATTTCAAAAATCATTTATTCATGTAGGCCATTTTAACCGCTTATGAACGTCAAATTTTTTATATCATAATTTTTTCCTTACCGTCCAGTTTAGTATATACATAGATCCAATTGAGAAGAACTGGCAAGAATGTTAATTGAATTACCTTTTTTTTAAAAGCCATTTTGTTTACAATGTATATTTATATAGGTGTTTATATCTAAGATTAACTGAAAATCCCGGGCATGAACAACTACTGCCATGCACGCTCATCAATCAAGTAATAAGTCCAAATCAAATGGACAATCGGTTCAGTAGTTGAGAAGTCCATCGCGGACAAACAACGTACCACGTAATTTTTATATATAAAGATTAGCTGTTCCCGCGACTTCGGCCGCGTGGAATTTAACTTTATTTCTCTAAAATAAAAGTAGCCTAAATTACTTCTTATTACACCATCGACCTGCCAATAAAAGTCCCGTCAAAATTGGGCCAGCCATTTCAGAGATTAGCCGGAACAAACAGACAGACAAAAATTGTAAAAAAATGTTATTTTGGTGTATGTTCCGTATTTATATTCATATGCATGTAGTAATAAACGGTTATATCAATATTACAAACAGACACTACAATTTTATTTATATGTATACATTTAGATTAAAGATTTAATCTAATAGTTAGTTTGCTGTATCTTTACAGGCGATCGGAAAGTATTCGCTGGAGTTTTGCCAAGTGTCTACGTATCTACCTGCATTCAGCCGGGTTTTTATTGAACCCCGTATAAGTTTGGTCGATACCACCACCCGTGCCCTCCCCCGCGATTTATTGTGCTACATATATGACCTCAATGAATCATATCATAAATATAATAGCTGTTCCTTTCAAAACAACTCCTACGGTTCACACATAAGGTAAGTTTTTCTGTACATTGTTATTGAACTTAGGATTACAAAGTTGACTGACGATAAGTTACAAGTGGAATTGAAGACATCAAAGTCAAGTAAGTAAGTCAAATCAAGTAGTATGGTCGAATCTGGTCTGAATAAAAAAATTGCGCGTTAATTTATATTTATAACTAGATGTTCCCGCGACTTCGTCTGCGTGGAATTTAACTTTAATTTTCTAAAATAAAACTAACCTAAGTTACTCCGTATTACATCAGCTACCTGCCAAAAAAAGTCCCGTCAAAATCGGTCCAGCCATTTCAGAGATTAGCCGGAACAAACAGACAGACAGACAGACAAAATTGTAAAAAATGTTATTTTGGTATATGTACCGTATTTATATTCATATGCATGTAATAAAAAACGGTTATTTCAATATTACAAACAGACACTCCAATTTTATTTATATGTATAGACTAGCTGTTACATGCGACGTTTTATTTTTTTGATTAAAATAAATATAGTCAATATAGAAAAATGTGTGTCAATTTATATTTAACTACGTGCGCGTGCAGTTTTATTTATTTTATTAAAATAAATATTTTTTCTAAATTTAAAATAGCCTAAGTTATTCCTCATAACATTAGCTGTCTGTGAGTGAAAGTCCTGTCAAAATCGGTTCATATGTTTCTGATGTTAGCAAGAACAAAGGGACAGACGAACAATATCTTTTAAATTGGCAAATAAAGTTATTTTAGTAGCTTACCGCAAGGAACATCCAAGTGGGCTCGCTGCGTTTTCTGAATCTCTTCAGGCATTCTATATGGTCCGATTTTGCCTGGAAAATATTATTTTTATACTTTCATTAGTGTACTGCGAAAATCGGAACCGTCCAGATGCTCATTAGCTTTAATTTGAACTGACTTACATGAAGAAAATATTTAATGATGAACATTTTGTTCATCATAGTTTTATTACTTAAAAGTTATTATATAACATTAATGTCGAAAATGTTTTAATGATGAACAAACCCGTTGTGTAAGGACTTTATATTATTTTCTTTAATTCTTCGATTGGCACGTGTGAGACCACAAATATCGAGTGCGGAAACCTGATCACCGCTACTAGCGTTACCACTATTGCTGACCAATTCTGACCGTTTTTAGATATATACTCATATAGCGACACGTACCACTATTGCTGACCAATTCTGACCGTTTTTAGATATATACTCATATAGCGACACGTACCACTATTGCTGACCAATTCTGACCGTTTTTAGATATATACTCATATAGCGACACGTACCACTATTGCTGACCAATTCTGACCGTTTTTGGATATATACCCATATTGCGACACGTTTTGACCAATTCTGACCGTTTTTAGATATATACTCATATAGCGACACGTACCACTATTGCTGACCAATTCTGACCGTTTTTGGATATATACCCATATTGCGACACGTGTTTCGCCTCGAAATCATTGAATGAAACAACCAAGGCATCATCAGGCAAACAATAGAGCTCGGAAGCAAAGTGTTGACTGTTCGGCTATCAGAAAAATATTTAGGAATAATTTTTGCAGTGTACACAATTTTTTCCGACTTAGAATTAATCATTAATTACTAATTATTGTAATTAATATTTCGCCCAATTTACATAATATCTGATTAATTTATTAATTTACACACCTATGTGTTATTCATGTAAGCTATATTACTATAAAGTTTCTTTAAAATCCATTAAGTAGTTATTTCGTTAAAGAGTAAGAAGCAACCATCCAAGGATGTGCTATTATTTTCTATATTCATAATATGTACTTTTATCTCAAAATGGTTCAACAAATATTTAAAACATTTAAAAAATCTTTTTAATAATTTGTATTTTCTATTAGTATGGAAGATGTGGGATACTTTCTTTGCTACGATGAAGTAATAATAGATAGGCTCACCACCGCCAGATGCAGATTGTCTCCTCCCAGTTCCACCTTGATCTTCTTCAAATTCCCCACCATGCCTATACATGGTCCGCACCACTCTGAATACACATCGATCACTGCAACAAATAGAAATAGAAATAATATTTCTTCAACCAAACTCAATATAAGCACTTTGGAATAGTAATTTTTTTTATTCTACCGTTTATTCGGAATACAGATTCATCACAAGAACAATAAGCAAGAAACTTGTGTGGACAGATAAAACTAATTCAAGTTACATTTAGAATTTATCTAAATAGTAATCTTTTTTGTTTCGGAATGTAGACTCATCACAAGAAGAACGAGCAAGAAACTTGCGTGTTGCTCTTGTGAATAAATGTTATTTTGAATAATCTATACATATAAATAAAATTGGAGTGTCTGTTTGTAATATTGAAATAACTATTTTTTTTACTACATGCACATGAATGTAAATACGGTACATACACCAAAATAACATTTTTTACAATTTTTGTCTATCTGTCTGTCTGTTTGTTCCGGCTAATCTCTGAAATTGTTGGACCGATTTTAACGGAACTTTTTTTAGCAGGTAGTTGAGGTAAAAAGGAGTAACTTAGGCTACTGTCTCGCTTTCACGCCTAAACCATTGATCCGATTTAAATGAAATTTGGTACACAGATAGTCTAGACGAAAAGACCTGAGAAAGGACATAGGCTACTTATAAATGCGAAAAAAGAGTTGTAAGGGGTAGAAAGGGGGGATGAAAGTTTGTATGGAATATCGTCATTTTAAAGCTAGAAACTGGAAACTTATTTCTTAGGCTGCTGATTAAATATAAATAAATATGACATTCAAATTTTGTAAAAAATTTATTTTCAAGGTTGTAAAAAAAAATAGGGGATGAAAGTTTGATTGGAAATTAGTCAGTTTTGAAGCTAGAAAGATAAAACTTTTTTCTTTAGCTATTTTGGGTTAGATAATTGAATATTTTTTTATATTTACTTGGTCACTATAATACGCGGACGAAGTCGCGGGCACAACTAGTATATATAATATATGTACACACGTGTCTGGCTGGAGTGGGTAGCTAGTATTTTAAAATTGTTACATACATCAAAATTATCATAAAAAATACACATAAACATTTATACAACTGTCTTATATACATACCTAGTAATCCTTCTCTGTGCATGAACTTGCTCCATTCCTCGTCGGTGTTGAGCTCGGCCTGCAACTGAACCTGTGCGGCCTTCTTGCCTGCCCCGGCGGCGGCCGCGGCAGCAACAGCGTTGGCGACCGCGCTCGTCAGAGCCATGACGCCGAGTGGCGCCAAACATTGTCATGGCAAGTGATGAGCGAAGCGTGCTCGCGTGCGTGTGCTCAGTTGTGCTCAGGGGTGGTTTTGAGGAAAAATGATAATTTCTGCTTACTCTCTATTACTGTTTTTTTAAGGGATGGTAATGGATTGGTGCTTCCTCCTACGCTAACGGTTTACGCTGGCGGGGCACCAGTGGAGGATGATAAGATTAGCATGAGGTCAGGTCAGTTAGCCCATCGTGACAAATTCTCTAGGAATTTATCATGATGGTTTTCAAGGGGAGTCACGTGGAAGTCAAACTGATGGTACATTGCTAGCAACAACAGTCCACATTGTTAACAATTCCTTTCCAATTCCGCTCTAACGGAACCTAAGTCGTAAACTCAGAGTCGGATCTACCTAAGACTTTTTGGGCTGCAGCCCAGGGCCCCGAGGATACAAATGGCACCCAGTCCTCACTGAAATATTTTTTTTATACCAATTAGGTGGCGAACAAGCATACGGCCCATCTGATGGTAAACGGTTACCGTAGCCTATGTACACCAGGGGTATCACTTGAGCATTGCCGACCCTTAAGAAACTTTAATATACCCTTATAAAAAAACCCCATGCTGTAGTCTCTCGAGCACCTCGGCAGGTAGTTCATTCCACAATCTAAGTGTACGCGGGAGGAAGCTCCTCTGAAACCGCACTGTCCGAGACCACTTAGGTTCCAGCGTGTGGAGAATCATCATAAGGTTGGCAACCCTGAGATCAATCAACCCATACAGGTGCGCGTCTATCGAAAGGAACTGGTCGAAGGGAATTGGTCGCTTGTTTATGCTCAGTGTATTTTTTTAGTTGAGTAATATAATTAGGTACGGTAGGTAGGCACAAATTCACGATCCGCCCCTGCTAAGTTAACAACAGCACGCTGTAACTACAACTTCTTATCACCAACCTACAATAACAGAGAGGGGGGAAGGGTATTGTTAGTAATGTGGACTCATGACTCCATTACTAGCAATGTACTACGCCAGGTTGACCTCCACGCTTCCCCCTGGAAATCATCGTGATAAATTCCTGGTAAATTTGTCACGATGAGCTAATTGAACTGACCTCATGCTCATCTTATCATCCTCCACTGGTGCCCCGCCAGTGTAAACCGTTAGCGCAGGCGGGTGCACCAATCCACTTTTCCACCTGACTTTATGCTCATCGTCCACTGGTGGGGCACCAGCGTATACCGTTATCGCAAGTCGATGGTCCACTCCACTATCATCATTAAAAAAATAAAACATATTGGGTAATTTTTGGACTCTAAACTGTTTTCACACTCAACCTATCATGCCCAACTGGTGCCCAACTAGCATGAAATGTATAAGTTAGATTATTAATTATTTAACTTAAATTTTGTTAGTTTCTTTAGTTTGTTGCGTTGTTTAGTGACCACTGTTTGCTCAGCACTAAATAATGTGGCTACTTCACAATAGATGGCGCATTTTAATAAAGTCCCTGTCTACTAGTGTACGATAGATGGCGCTACCTGTAGTCAAGTAAACCTACCTCACAGGAGCCCACTGGTCGTAATTAATTTAAAAGTATAATATTAAAATTAGTAGATACTAGTAACTCGGCCCGGCTTCGGACGGGTGTACATGTATTATATATATAAACTTTTCTATTGAATCACTCTATCTATTAAAAAAAACCGCATCAAAATCCGTTTCGTAGTTTTAAAGATTCAAATTGAAATTCTTTATATGTGAAGTACAGGTTATAGGTACAGGTAGGTTGTTGGTTTAGATTTAAGCTTACGTAGGGTCAAACAGCGACTTTCTTTTATACTATGTAATGAAATGTCTTCCCTATTTCTATTCAGATTTTGTATTTACGCATGTAAAATTTAAATCTTATATATAAAATTCTCGTGTCACAGTTTTCGTTCCCATTCTCCTCCGAGACGGCTTGACCGATTCTCATGAAATTTTGTGAGCGTATTGAGTAGGTCTGAGAATCGGCCAACATCTATTTTTCATCAATCAATGTTAGGGGTAGTCCACCCCTAAATTTTTTTTTAAGGCAAAACGTTTGTCGGGATAGCTAGTAAAAGTATAAATAATATTGAAGGTGATGTAAACGCTGTTTTTGGACATATATTTTTGAACACAATTACAAATTAAAACAAATGGGTTTTAGTAAGTGTGTTTTATGTCTAAAATTATTTATTTTGCTTTCTTTTTTGTGAATGATAACAGAATGCTTGAGCTAACGGTACAAATAAAGAATCTTGAATCTTGAATCTTGAAACGGTATACCTACGTTGCGCGTATATGTTGCGGGGCACCAGTAGAAGATAAGGATAATGTCAGGACAATCAGTTGTGAACTTATCAGGAGTTTGTAACGACGTTTCCCGACGGGGATTGGTCCACCTGTCCCCACCAGGTGGACCAATTCTTAAATTCAAATTAAAAGATAATTTATTCATATAGGACATTTTAGCCGCTTTTAAACGTCAATTTTTTTATGTTTGACGACCTCGGTGGTCTAGCGGTCTAGCACACCGCTTTACGTCTCATGGTCGCGGGTTCGATTTCTCGCACGGCTCAAACATTTGTATTCAAGAGTATGATTGTTTGTATCGGTCTGGGTATTTTATATGTATAACATGTATGAATTTACGAAAAAAAAAATTATCTATGTATTTGTATTGTATAAAAAAATCGCTTTTGTAATTATAAGGGTGTTTTTACGTCGTTAGCATTAAACAATAAGTTGTCTTGAAACGTGCCCTGGGAGTTGGGGGTAGTTTTGTCCCTTACAATTGGGACGCCGCGGAAGCGCCGCCTCGCGTTTCTTTTTTATTACCAACTCGAGTATAAACAGCTACAATGTGAACCAGTGGTTCTCGATAATTTAATATCCTCTCCAGAGGGACACATTATACAATTAAAACTTTGGCCGTATCAAATCGCGGCTGAAGTACTACAAAATATATTTATAATACAAAAAAAAAATGGGATAATAAAAACAGTAGAGAAACAAATAAATTTAATAAAAAAAAAAAAACCAGTGGTTCTCAACGTTGATTGCACTGACTCATTCGACAGCCTCGGTGGTCTAGCGGTTTAGCATACCGATTTAGTTCCGATGGTCGCGGGTTCCTCGCACGGTACAAACATTTTTATTCATGAGTGTGATTGTTCGTATCGATCTGGCTGTTTTCTATATATATATTTACAAAAAAATGTAAGTATTTAATATCCGTTACCTTGTACCTATAACACAACTTCTGCTTTGTTTGATAACTAGATGGCGTTGTGTGAATTGTCCAGAGATATTATATTATTGTTAGATTTATATTCAGCAGATCAATTGTTGCCTACAATATCTGTTAGGCATACCAAGTAGAAGAAAAGAGAAGAGAACGAGTTTATTCTTTATTTTGTAATTTTAATACTTAAATTTCAATATATGTAAAATAAAATAAATTACAACATAAGAACTGGTTTTTTACAATTACAATATAAGAAAATTTTAATAAAGCTAACATAAGCTTTTATAAAAATATTATGACATATTATAAACAATTCTTTTATTTTATATTACTACTGTTATTTTAGACTAGCTGTGCCCGTGACTTCGTTCGCGTGGTTATCAAAAGCACTGTCGCGTTTTTTTTCCCGTTTTTGCAACATTTTTCACTGATGCTTCGCTTCTATTGGTCGTAGCGTAATGTTATACAGCTGAAAGCCTTCCTAGACAAATGGGCTATATAACACAAAATGATTTTTTCAATTCGAACCAGCAGTTCCTGAGATTAGTGCGTTCAAACAAACAAACTATTCAGTTTTATAATATTAATAATAATAATATATAAGTATAGATTAATAAAGTTTTATATTATTTAATTAATCATTTATGTGTTCAGAAACAGTACAGTAACTGTAATAAATAATCTCTTAAGATTTATATCTTTTTTTCGTGTTTTAGTAAGTCTATTATATAATTTATTATATATTTTTATATACAATTATTATAAGTCACGGTAACGGTACATAAAATCTGAGTGGAGCCATTTTAGTGATTATAGGGATGTAAATAATGAATATTTTATGTTTATTTTTAATTATCTACACGGTAAATTAAGTTTAATTATATGTACATTATATTTGCTCTTTTTTTTTCGTTTGTTGATTATATTGTATTTTTTACATTGCACTGAATAAAATATTTTTCTTTCTTTCTTTCTCTCTTTCTTTCTATTCTTTACTGCGCAAAGTGTGTACTTAAACGCTTTCAAAGTTACGCAGAGAGAAGTATTTTTCAGAGCAGGCCGGCTCGAGATACCGGCACGAGTAATTTATTTGTGTTTCATTCATTAGTAAACTCCGCTGTGTTCATTTGTTACCTACTCCCCTCTTTTTTAACAGCCAATAAAATTTAACGAAAGATTTGCTTTATTTCTATTTTGGCAGAGAGAAAGTCTCCAGATATCGTCGCCATTGGTACTTATTTATTTACGAAGCAAAATGTAGTCCCTGTCTATGTAGCTGCTTAAGTTAAAAAGTTATTGAATTTTTTATAAAGTTGACAACTTCTGAACGATGCTTTTATTTTGGCGTATTTTAATTTTATTTCGTGAATGTTTTTTAGTTAAAAGTATGTTTCTTTAAATTAATAATATTATTATTTTCTATAATTACCTTATAGTAAATAATATTCAGGTTTGGTTAGCTTAGAGTTGCCAACCGTCATGTTTTCCCAGGATAAGTCCTAGTTTTTGAAGTGTCCCGGGAAGTCCTGAATAGTTTGGCAGCGTCCTGGGTTTTTAAAATACACGCGCCTCTTAATGACTGATTATCAACAGTATAATTTTATCAAATACTTTTTATTAAAAATTTGATTATATTAATTACTTGAATTTTTTACAAGTTTTGTCTGTCTGTCTGTTTTTCCGGCTAATCTCAGAAATGGCCGGACCGATTTTAACGGGTCTTTCTTTGGCAGGTAGCT